TCAGTGCTTGGAACAGAGGACCCAAAAGCAGAGGAAGTACAGCAATAGAGTTTATTCTTTAGATGCTTGAAATGAGGAGACTCTGCCGTCAGCAGACGCAGGTCTGTTTAACGCTCAACATAAAGTGACAGTTACCACGTGACGATTCTTTTTTAAATTGTAACGGCTTCTATTCCTGCAAAGTCGCGGCTGGAACATCAACTTGGTATGACAATGAAAATCTCAGGTGATGTGCTTTACAATGTTAAAAGCGTCTAATGAGTGTGTGGATATCATTTTGAGTGACCTTTAGACACTCTGACAGCTATAAATGGGTAATAAAATTGAGGCCATTGTTTTGTGCAGGTGAAAGTACATTATCAGAGTTAATGTTTCGCCATTTGAACCTCCAGAATAATTTCTCTAACGTTACTGCGTATCAAATCCAAAGCGTTTCATGGAAACCTTCACAAAATCTAAGACACAAATTTACGTGTTATTATAGAAACGGCGGTGGATTTTGTGAATCTGAATGTGACGAACGTTGATCAAGGTGAGTGTTCAGGTCTCGAGACGTTTACAGCTGACTTCCGCATTTAGGCAAATATATAGCCTAACTCCCCTAAAGGACATATTAGTTATTTTATGAGTTTGATATTTTTCATTTAAGAGCAAACATGCCATCATTGTGTCGTGTTGTCTGTGGTTTATTTAGTATTTGTTTTAATACACACGACTAACATAGTGTATTTGAGTGAACTCGCGTCTCATGATCCTGTTTCTCTGAATCTCAGGATCCGTTCTGCTGAATTATTGTGAATTATTGTGTTTGTTTGTCATTTCCATTCAGAGTCAGTGGTGAAGATCAGATTCTGTTTCAACTGTTCAGCTTCATCATGGATGAGACTCAAACATCCAGAGAAGAAGATTTTTATCCAGGATGCAGGTATTTTGAATAAACTACAGATTAAATCATCTTTAAATTATAGGCAAAATGTTGTTTTATTAAGTTAAAAACATTTATTTAAAACAATTATACCAGCCAGGTTTTTTAATAAAATACTTTTTAAGAACTTATATTAAAATATTATCACCAATTATAATTATTATTTTGTGTTACAGTTCAGTTCATCAGAAGAGATCAGAACCAGAGCCCAGCTGTGTGTCTATGAGGAGTGACGCGTCTATGGGTCTGCCAGTACAGTTTAAGAGTGGTGCATCACAACATGATATTAGGTGAAAATGTCGCTACTAAAGCATTATTTTTTATTATCAGATTAATATTGGTGATATTTTCTTAAAGATATGAGAAATTCTTATTTATATGTTGCAAATATTTGAATGTATGTTATTCATATGAGAGATGTAAATGAGAGCACAGTTCATTTTACAGGTTTTTTTTATCAACATTGTGAAAATAAATTCTTAAAGGATAAATGAATTTGAATACAGTAATTCAGTGTATTAACTTTAATCTATGTTATAGTTCAGTTCATCAGAAGAGATCAGGACCAGAGTCCAGCTGTGTGTCTATGAGGAGTGACGCGTCTATGGGTCTGCCAGTACAGTTTAAGAGTGAAGATACACAGACTGATCTCAGGTATTAAATTTCTTTAAAAATATGATTATAGTATGGCGTTTTAATTCTTTAAGGATAAATGAATATGTGATTTTTGAAAAGGCAAAGTAATTTTATTTATATAGCACATTTCATACACTGCTAATTCAAAGTGTTTTAAAGAGAATTAATTAAAATAATCACAACATAAAAGTAAGGAAAAAGTAGTAGTAGTTATAAACAGGAATTAAATGAGTAAAAAGATGATAAATAGATAAACTTCTCATCTGGCAAAACACCGGTGTATCTGATTATTCACAACTCGCAGTTTTACTCTGAGATTTTCTGATGGCGATCACACTGTGTCTGTGTTGTTCTTTCGGTGCGCCTAAGAAATCTATTTGACGTCTCCAATAGACCCGATTTTCCCCAAAAATTAAGGACAGGAGGAGCTCTACGACTGAAGCATGGGGGTTAAATTAATGTAATGTATTCACTTGTATCATTGAATTCAATTCAATGTATCTGTTATAGTTCAGTTCATCAGAAGAGATCAGGACCAGAGTCCAGCTGTGTGTCTATGAGGAGTGGCGATACACAGACTGATCTCAGGTATTACATTTCAACAAAATATGATTAAAAACATTACATTGTATTTATTAATACTGTGGTATTTTAATTTTACAGCCATGAAGTCCTCAACAGGTTTAGATCAAATCTGATGAAGAAGTTTGAGTGTCTGTATGAGGGAACAGGAATGCAGAGAAACCCAACACTCCTGAATGAGATCTACACAGAGCTCTACATCACAGAGACTGAGAGTGAAGACATCAGTAATGAACATGAGGTGAGACAGATTGAGACACAATCCAGGAGAGCAGCAACAGAGGACACACCGATCAAATGCAATGACATCTTTAGACCTTTACCTGGACAAGACAAACCCATCAGAACTGTGCTGACAAAGGGAGTCGCTGGCATTGGAAAAACAGTCTCTGTGCAGAAGTTCATCCTGGACTGGGCTGAAGAGAAAGACAATCAGGACGTCCAGCTCATATTTCCACTTCCTTTCAGAGAGATCAATCTGATGAAGGACAAAACACTCAGTCTTTCAGAGCTTCTTCATGTCTTTTTCCCTGAAACTAAAGAAATATCCAGTGACAAATATAAAGTGTTGTTCATCTTTGATGGTCTGGACGAGTGTCGTCTGTCTCTGGATTTTCAGAGCGATGTGAGGTTGTGTGATGAGAGTGAATCAGCCTCACTGGACGTGTTGTTGACGAACCTCATTGTGGGGAATCTGCTTCCCTCGTCTCTCATCTGGATCACCTCCAGACCAGCAGCAGCCGATCTCGTCCCGTCTGAGTGTGTCCATCGAGTGACAGAGGTACGAGGCTTCAATGATCCACAGAAGGAGGAATACTTCAGGAAGAGAGTCAGTGATCAGAGTCTGGCCAATAAAATCATCACACACCTGAAGTCCTCAAGGAGCCTCTACATCATGTGCCACATCCCAGTGTTCTGCTGGATCTCAGCCGCTGTTCTGGAGAAGATGATGAGCGAAGCAAAGAGACGAGAGATTCCCAAGACTCTCACTGAGATGTACACACACTTCCTGATCCTTCAGACCAACATCAAACATGAGAAGGACTATGAGAAGAAGGTGACCGATGAAGACCTGATCCTCAAACTGGGGAAACTGGCTTTTCAGCAGCTTGTGAAAGGCAATGTGATCTTCTATGAGGAAGACGTGAGAGAGTGTGGCATTGATGTGACAGAAGCATCAGTGTACTCAGGATTGTGCACTCAGATCTTCAGAGAGGAGTTTGGCTGGTATCAGGGGAAAGTCTTCTGCTTTGTTCATCTGAGTGTTCAGGAACATCTAGCGGCTCTATATGTGCATCTCTCCTGTACAATCAACAACAGAAATGTGTTTGACTCAATCACCAAACAGAATTTGCGGCCAATCTCTAAACAGAGTTCACAGTCTAAAGTTAAGGACCGGTTTCAGCTCATGTTTAAACATGTTTCATTATCTGCGCTGCATCAGAGAGCTGTGGAAGAGGCTCTACAGAGTAAAAATGGACATCTGGATCTTTTCCTGCGGTTTCTTCTGGGTCTGTCAGTAAAGTCTCTCCAGATTCTCCTACAAACACTAATGAAACAGACGAGAACATCTGACAGCAATGAGGAAACAGTTGAGTACATCAAGGAGAAGATCAGGACCATCGACTCTCCAGAGAAATCCATCAATCTGTTCCACTGTCTGAATGAACTGGGTGATCGTTCACTAGTGGAGGAAATACAACAGTATCTGAAATATGGAAGAATAAAGAAAGTCGATCTCTCTTCATCTCAGTGGTCAGCTGTAGTCTTTGTGTTGTTGACATCAGAGGAGAAGCTGGACAAGTTTGATATTAATGATTTTGTTGGAAGAGACAATAAAACTGAACAACTAAAGGTTCTTCAGAAGATGCTTCCTGTGATTAAAGAATCCAGATCAGTTCAGTAAGTATCAATCAGAACAATCAGTTCACTGTTAAAACATTAGAAAATAAAAGTTCATCAATCTTCAGTGCTGCAGATGTTGTGTGGAGTTCAGTGGTCAGGATTTGATGTGTTTCTTAAACCGTGACAATGTAGAATTTTTTTTGATAAATAAAATCAGGTTTACTAGTTGAATGTTCTTGCACATAAAGAAGGAATTTAAATATTTAAAATAAATGATAAAAGAAATTAAAAGCAAGTAAACAACCGGAGTCTCCTAAAAACATTTGATGTCTGGTTTACAGCAGAGTCGTACATTTATATTTAACTATTAGACAATTAAACATTAACTTGATGATTAGATTAAAGTTTACTAAAACTTCACATTTTAATTTTACTGTGAGATTGACAATTAAGAATCAAATCACTGAGTGTGAAATTAGTGATGATTCTCTAGTAAAGTGCAGATTTAATGTGTAGCAACGACTCTTACAGAACAAGAATAGCAATGTACAATGAGACATTTAAGATTATTTACAAGTCATTACTTTTGCAAATATTTGGAATGAAATTTAAAAAATATATTGATATGAATATTTTTCTATATATCTATTAATCTGTTGTGTGTATCTATTTTGACGTGTCGTTTTGCAGCGTGTAATTGTCCATCGGTCCTCTCAGCAGCAAGAAAAACTAAACTTTTATTCAATGGATTATGTATAACCTCTGAAGAGCGCTTCCTTTACAATCATTATAAATCTGTCACTCATCTCAGTTCACAATCTCACAGAGATATAAATAAACCATAAAGTATACACTGCATAAAGAAAATCTAACTTGCTAATAATCTCTCTTTTTGTTAGAGGATTTGTGAGCATGAAAAACTCGGCACTGAACCTTGGATAAGAATTCGAATTTGTTGGAAAACTATTTGATAGTGTTTAAATTCTGCTATTTGTTTTTCATCTCTCTACAGGTTGAGGAATTGTGGCGTCACAGTTAAAGGTTTTGCTGCTCTGACTTCAGCTCTGAGATCAAACCCTGAACACCTGAGAGAACTGAATCTGTCTGAGAATAAAATCGGAGGATCAGTGAATCTGCTGTGTGATGTACTACAGAATCCTCACTGTAAACTGGAGACACTGTGGTAAGATCATATTTGACTCTCACACATGAATCACAATGTAAAGTATATTTGAAGTGTTCAGCCTCTTTCTGCTGCTGTGAGTTCAGATTATTGAGTGGAAATGATTGAACACACGAGCTGATCCTCAATAACATGAAACTGCAGGACTGAGAGTCACACTGAAATACACACTTTCACACACAATCAACATTTCAGTCTCTTGACTTTAAACAGACTCGAGCTCAACACCGTCAGAACTGAGAAATGAAGAACATGCTGGATTCATTCTTACTGTTAATTATCTTCATCTTTCTAGACGATTGTTTTTAATTTGGTAAAATGAAAACGCGCGCACACACACACACATACACACACACACTAATTGACACTCCATGTACAGTATATAGTACACGTCTAGTAAGTAACAGTAAAACTAACCTATGTAGTGAAAAGTGAATCTTTGAAATCAAAATCTTATGACAGCTCATTTTTTTTAAATATAAACCTAAAATTTGAAACACAACTTATTCAGATTTTTGGCTTTCATTTTTTTTTTTTCAGTTTTAGAGTCGCCCAGGTTTTGAAAATAGATATTTAAAAAAAAAAACATTAATAATATATATTTTTTTTATTGTACATTTTCATGAACTCAAACTTCTATAACTTTTTTTCTGTTTCACTTTCTTAATTTGTTTCACTTCTATAATAATCTGCCAAATGTCTTCTTTAAAACAATCTTACGTCAATATTCCAAAGCATTCTTGAATTACAACCATTTAAGTTCGAAATATGCATTTTCATCTATATTAAAAAAGGGGGAGTGACACTTAAGCGGTTCAGACACTTGCCGCCGCCTACTGACGGTTTTAGTTACACATTTAAAGTAGTCTACCCTTTAATTAAAATGTTTAAGTAAAATTATAAATGATTTCATATTTAAAAAGTGCATAAGAATCTCATAGCTTTATTAATGTAATTGTAAATTGAATGTAAATATATTAATGCCAGTTTTGATGCAGTTTCTGTGTCGCCTCTGCACTGCAAAGATGGATTTTGATTTAAGAATTTTATTTGACTGGTAACAGTTGGACTGTGTTATTATTCTAATATAGAATAGGTCTCTCTGGTAGAAGAGATAGTAATATCTCAATGTGACTCTCCTGGTTAAAATAAAGGAAATAAAAAATAGAATTTAATTTAAATGTTAGATTTTGACATAAAAGGTGATGCATACATACCTCTAATATGTTTAGAAAAAATGAACATATATAGGTGAAAAGGCCCCTGGAAATCAATTTAAAGTGGCAAATATTGGCCCTTAATAAAACTAATTATATTCTGTCACTGCTGTGAACTGACCACTGCATAGAATATGAAAAATATTAATATCTTTGAGTCAACTGTCAACAAAAGGCCTAAACCAGCCATGGTAGCAGTACAAAAACACAATCAGTAAAATATCGTCTAATTATTATCAACAAAACTTTGAAAATATCAATATATATTTTTGTCAGTATTGCACAACCCCTAATATACGGTATTAATTATGATTTCTTCAGGTCTTAAAAAGCCTTAAATTTGTCTTTAAAAAGTGTGCTGCTACCCTGTCAATATAGTGCAAATAAGAGATTATTTTTCCTGATTGAATGATACTTTAGATGTTGTATGATCATGTTTTGTGACATTTTAGATCTCAATCTAATGATCCCTCAAACATATTAATTTGTGCTTTAAGTTTGAACTTTCTCTTTAATAATGGATTCACTGCTAAACTGATCTGATCTGAACTGAGAGAGTGAAGTGTGTGTCGTTGTTCTCTACAGGTTGTGGGATTGTGGCGTCACAGATGAAGGTTTTGCTGCTCTGACTTCAGCTCTGAGATCAAACCCTGAACACCTGAGAGATCTGGATCTGTCATGGAATAAAATTGGAGAATCAGTGAATCTGCTGTGTGATGTACTACAGAATCCTCACTGTAAACTGGAGAAACTGTGGTAAGATCATATTTGACTCTCACACATGAATCACAATGTAAAGTATATTTGAAGTGTTCAGCCTCTTTCTGCTGCTGTGAGTTCAGATTATTGAGTGTAAATGATTGAACACGTTTGGTGATGTGAGCTGCGTTACACGAGAGATTGAAATGGTCGCTACAAAGAAATCTGTTTATTTTGGTCACGGCTCGTCTTGAAACACAAAGACATTGTGACGGTTGTCGTAGGAGAAGTCACACTGCAGGACTGAGAGTCAAATCTTCTGACACTGCAGAATCTCATCGAGGTCAAATATGAACGCAACGGTCATTAATCGGCTGTCGGTGAACATATCAAATAGAGCTGCAGATTAATCACAATTAACATGAAATCACACTTAAACTGATTTTGTTTATCACTATTATGAAATCACAAAAGCTGTGATTATTTATGATGTGCAGTGTGTCAGTGACGTACGGCTCTGATCAGTAAACGCTGCTCCATCTGAAAGCACTGCGAGTTTGAGTCTCTTTTAATGTGTATTTGAAAAAGCAACACACATCAAACATCTTTCCAAACATGAGAAGCTTTTATGAACCTTTTGTCCAACAAAAGACAATATTTAATAAATAAATCAAAGCGTTTCAATCTTCTGTTTATTCAGATACAGATAGTGTGATGCCCATAGGGATTTCCTGGAATGATGTGTGTTATCGTTCTTCTGTGGCGGGGCATATTTAGTGTGTGTGTGTGTGTGTGTGTGTGTGTGTGAGAGAGAGAGAGAGAGAGAGAGAGAGAGAGAGAGAGAGAGAGAGAGAGAGAGAGAGAGAGAGACCCTCTGGCTTTCAGATGGAGCAGCATTTACTACCGATCACCGAGCCGTACTTCACTGACAAACTGTATAAAATAATCTCAGTCTTTACCAGATCGCGTGCGGTTTCATTTCGATCAGTCGTGCAGCTCTAATATCAAACTAACCATCAAACTCTTCAAGTTTGGCCTCAGATCAGAGGAAACTTTAAGGATTAGTAAAATTTGTCTCAGACGGCCAAAATCACACAGTGTGCAGTCGACTTAACAGTAAAACTAACCTATGTAGTGAAAAGTGTCGTTTATTAAAGCAGATTTGTCACGAAATGCACACAGAAAGGTCAGATCCGAATGCAGAGTTTATTCAGAGTAATCCTCCATACTCATCGTCAGTAGTGATGTTACGTCTGACACCGACGCTTCAAACTCGAACGGTCCTTGCAATGAACCACTGCTTCAGAGCTTGTATCATTACGTCACTAGTCTCGTGAAAATGACGTCTGAAGCAAACACACTGGATCACTCCTGTAGTGAACCGCCTGACTGCTTTCACAGCCCGATCCAGTGTCGACTGGTTTCAAACCTGTCGGCTGTATTTCTCATAAAAGTGAAGCCAAACCGTTGCAACACCGCGGGTTAGTAGTCGGTGTTTGGATTGGCGTTATTATTGAGAGTGGATTGAGTTTATTTTAGTGTTGTGATGGAGCCATCGAGAAAGAGAAGTCGTTCGCAAGTTTTGGAACACTTTAAACTTATTTTCCCGAATAAGATAAGTTCTTTGACATTTCTGCATACAAATATTTGTACATATGTAGTGAATGATATGGAGAAAGACAGAAACTTAAAAAAAAAACCTCTGCTACATTATTCAAGTTCAACCAGTTACACAAGCACATCTTTCTCAACATACAGAATCATCAGTCCACCAGTAAACAAGTTATAGAGTTCTGGTTCCCACAGGAAAGAAGCAGTAATGTAATGGTTTCTATAGTCATGGAAACCATTACAGAAATTCTACTGGATTTAATGGTTTTCATGGGAATTATAGTGGTCTCTGTGGGTCTCTACTGTAGTGGTTTAAATGGTAAAAGCAAATGGTTCCTATTGGTATTTTAATCGAAACCATTAGAATTTCTGTGATGGTTTCCAACTTTTTTAAAGCTGATCTGATCTTCTGTCCTTGTCTAAAGAAATAATTACACACACACATCATTCTTAATGTTTTATTGTCAAGGTGAACACATGAAATTCATCAGTATCTGTAAAATTCACCTATAAATGAGTTTCACAGAACTTCAGCTTTGATCGCTTCGGTAAACTCGTCATAAACGGGCCGTTAATATACACGCCTACTTGCATTTTATGGTTGTCAGCTTTGTTGCAGTACATTTACTTCACCAGGAGATGGTGCTGCAATTTTGCATGAAGCTTCGAGTAATGAACCATTTTCGACACAATAGGGGATTATCACGCCTCCGGGTTTCATGGGCGGGATTTGTCAACTTTGTGCATGTCCACTTCCGACACAGTTCAACAATGCCTGAGACGAATGCTATATATGTCACTGCTCTGTTCCACTTTGTAAATCTAACCAACAACGCCAACCCTACTTAAGTTTTCATGGATTCCCAACTGAATTGAGAATAAGGAAGAAGTGGATTAAAACTTTAAAATAAAACAAGGTAGCGCGTTTGTTTGCAGCCGGCACTTTAGTGATTCAGACTAATTTACCAGGGATGCCGTATAAATAAACTTAGTGTAGTCCTTCATCAGTTCGCCAGCGAGATCGGTGATTCAACGGAAGTGGCAGTGCACAAAGATCACAGAATACGGAAGTACTACGTATCAGCGTGATAATCCCCTATCATATCAGAAAGCAATAATGCTTCGAAACGCTTCATTTGGCCATCACTAATCGTCAGACAGGCAAAGGATCAAAATCCACACAACACAGTCCAAAATCAAGAAACAAACCAGACAACAACTCCAAAGTGCAGTTGACATAAAATAAGGACTCGATGACAATCACAGAAACAAACAGGGCATATAATCACACAGACACTAACAAGGTGACGGGAAACAGCTGTGTGTAATAATCAATGAGTGACAAACAGGATGATGGGAAATGTAGTCTGAGTGAAGGAAACCGTGGTGGAGAAGACCTCTGGTGGAAACACAGAGAAACACAAACGAGACACTGTGACAGATTTTACACAAGACTGAATTATATATAGGTCAAATAAGAGATTATTTTTCCTGATTGAATGATACTTTAGATGTTGTATGATCATGTTTTGTGTTATTTTAGATATGATCTCAATCTAATGATCCCTCAAACATATTAATTTGTGCTTTAAGTTTGAACTTTCTCTTTAATAATGGATTCACTGCTAAACTGATCTGATCTGAACTGAGAGAGTGAAGTGTGTGTCGTTGTTCTCTACAGGTTGAATTATTGTGGCGTCACAGATGAAGGTTTTGCTGCTCTGACTTCAGCTCTGAGATCAAACCCTGAACACCTGAGAGATCTGGATCTGTCATGGAATAAAATTGGAGAATCAGTGAATCTGCTGTGTGATGTACTACAGAATCCTCACTGTAAACTGGAGACACTGTGGTAAGATCATATTTGACTCTCACACATGAATCACAATGTAAAGTATATTTGAAGTGTTCAGCCTCTTTCTGCTGCTGTGAGTTCAGATTATTGAGTGGAAATGATTGAACACACGAGCTGATCCTCAATAACATGAAACTGCAGGACTGAGAGTCACACTGAAATACACACTTTCACACACAATCAACATTTCAGTCTCTTGACTTTAAACAGACTCGAGCTCAACACCGTCAGAACTGAGAAATGAAGAACATGCTGGATTCATTCTTACTGTTAATTATCTTCATCTTTCTGCATTGACTCTTTCTAGAGGATTGTTTTTAATTTGGTAAAATGAAAACACACACACACACACACACACACACTAATTCACACTACATGTATATTACATAGTACAGATCTAGTAAGTAACAGTAAAACTAACCTATGTAGTGAAAAGTGTCATTTATTAAAGCAGATTTTGCACAAGACTGAATTATATAAAGTGCAAATAAGAGATTATTTTTCCTGATTGAATGATACTTTAGATGTTGTATGATCATGTTTTGTGACATTTTAGATCTCAATCTAATGATCCCTCAAACATATTAATTTGTGCTTTAAGTTTGAACTTTCTCTTTAATAATGGATTCACTGCTAAACTGATCTGATCTGAACTGAGAGAGTGAAGTGTGTGTCGTTGTTCTCTACAGGTTGAGGGATTGTGGCGTCACAGATGAAGGTTTTGTTGCTCTGACTTCAGCTCTGAGATCAAACCCTGAACACCTGAGATATCTGAATCTGTTTGGGAATAAAATTGGAGAATCAGAAGTGAAGCTGCTCTCTAAACTGAGGGATGATCCACATTATAAACTGGAGAGATTTTTCTACTGTGAGTATATTTTTCCAAGTCTTTATATTGACCCAATCTCAGTAACAGGTCTCATATGTGTGAAACTGGAGGATATAAGATAATAATTCAGCTCCACTTTATTCTCTGTAAACTGTTTTTAATAAGAGTTTAATTCTGTGATGTGAATATGATTTATGAATAGGCTCGGTCTATATGAATATTTTCATCTTTACATGTTTACATGCACAACTTTTGTTTCAATTGGAATTAATTCATTCGACTGATGAATCCAAACGTAGTGTTTACATGAACGATAAATAAAGTGATCGGGTTGATGTGTGTGTTTATATGTCACAAGCTTCAAATCAGAATTGAGTTTTTGACATGCACACACTGCACAAATATTTCCCACTGTTTGCACACACTCTTCTCTTACTTTGTTTGTTTTAAACAGCAGAATTAATATTAATATATTACGGGTCAGGTCCTAATTAGGAGTCGATGAGCACATGAACCGTTGTGCGGCGCTGCTTATATTTCTCTGTCAGTAAAAACACCCGTACCTGCAGCCGAAACAGCCTGTGGATGAGAGTCTGAGAGAAGGACTGAAGCCGTGAGATTGTGTTGATCATTCATGACACTTCATTCAACAACTACAACAGCTCGTACGCATCATACGGCATTACGTCATTGCACACACACAGAGAACTTTCCAGTTTGGTTTTCAATCTGATCGAGTGTTTACATGTCCTCTCGATCGCTTTAGAAAAGGAATAAAACACCCAATTCGATCAACTGTAACATGAATATATTAATATCTCTGTCTGTAACATGAATATATTAATATCTCTGTCTGTAATATGAATATATTAATATCTCTGTCTGTAATATGAATATTAATATCTCTGACTGTAATATGAATATATTAATATCTCTGTCTGTTTTCCTGAAATGATCTCCAGATGTGATGTGTCTCAGTAATGTCTCGTACTCATATGTGTGTGTGTGTGTGTGTGTGTGTTTTATTGTAGGACTCTCAGTGTTCAGACGTCAGTTCAGTTTCCTCAGGATCAGCTGATGGTGAATAAAGAGACTGAAGACACAGAAACACACAGCGATCACACTGACGTGTGTGTGTGACTTCACACCAGTTTCTTGTTTTATAGTAATGGCTCATGAAAATGAGTGCTGAAAATAGCAGCTTTGAATTGTTTCAACTTTATTAGATATTGATTACAATGTAGAAGGAGAAACACTCAAAATACGTGTCAAACGGTTAAAGTGAAAACAAGCCTTAGACAATAGATTTATAGTGCGATACAGACAGCGCTGGGAAAAGTGTTATAAGTTTGATCAAGAGTCTGTCTACAGAAGAGACTCTTTGTTCACACTCGTTGTTGCCTTTTTGTTGTTTTATCATTGCATGTTGTTTCTGATGATTTACAGCCTTAATATTCATGCACATTCGCTTCCTCTCAGCCGAGTTTAAGTTTAAGTCTCAGTTTAGCTTGGATTAGGTTTGCTTGTGTCATGGATTGGAAGATAGAAATAGACTAGAATGAAATATTAATGTGGATCTACTGTTTGAGACTCTATCATGTTACTGTAAACATTAAACTATTGAACTGTACTCTCAAATGTACTTCAGGAGATTTTACTAAATCTAATTTTCAAATTACATGCATCTCTATATTTTATTTTTGTAAAACAGTGGTTTATTAGGAGGAACTTCTCTGGAAATTGTTTATAAAACCATCCTATTGTCACATTCATGCTTTATGTATATGGTAAGTGATGTATATAGTATATACATATATACAGTATGACAATGAAAATATCTCAGGTATTGTTTATGTGCTTTACTTAATGTTAAAAGTGTCTAATGAGTGTGTGAATATCAGTTTGGGTGACCTTTATACACACACTGACCGCTGGATAACAGAATGGATAATCAGAAGAACTGATAAGAATGTAAATGTGAACCTTGAAATGCAATGTAAGTCGCTTTGGATAAAAGCGTCTGCCAAATAAATAAATATAAATGTAATAATTCACCTCAGATCCTGAAAATAAAATGAAGAACGTCAACTCTGTGATCAAACAAGTCTGTTCCATGTCAAAGATTGTTTCAGTCGGTGTGTATTTTCAATAATGTTAAAGTAATGGTATATTTATGAATTTGATGAAGTATTTGTCCATTTCGTTTCCAGAGACTCCGCCCACAAGCTCTTCTGATTGGCTGTGACTTCGAGATTGATTTTGTCGCGTTGAACATGATCGTATCGGGTCTGATTTCACAATGAATTCAAGGTCAGAAACAAGTTCTATTCGCAATTTTTATCATTTTAGATGTGTATGGAAGAATAGATTTACAAATAATTCTCTCAAATGCCACAATTTATGCAAGATGTACAAGCCACAAAAAACATTGCTTTTACAATTTACAATGTAAGTCAATAGAAATGTTCAACTTTATGACATTGTACAGTACACTTCATCAAATATAACACTATAAAACCTGTAAAATATGTCGGTAGTGATTGCCTATTGGTTCTAGATCAGGGATTCAGACAGTAACATTACAGTCAACCCTAACTGAATAAGATTGTGTCCTAAATTAAATCATCTCTCTGGATGAAAGAAATCTGCTCATTATTGACGATCTATCGGCTCGCTCGAGACAGATCTGCATGTCAGGTCCTTATAGTTTCTGCGTTTGATAAAACATTGACATGTGAACTATCTATTCTGCGTACATGTTGTATTTGTGCATCAAAAACATGTTTTCAAAAGCAGATTTAAAGGAAGTCTGTCTATCCGGCGACCGGCTTTAGCGTCCCGGCGGCTGCGTTGACGGTGAAGGCAGAGATGCTGATTTGGCGTTCGACCTCGTCCCAGGCCTTCTGCGGGTTCGCCGCATTCTCAATGTCGAACAAAGCGTCATAAATCCCTGGGAAAGACTCGCCTGCGTATTTATTGTGACTGCTGGGAGCAAAAATGATATGCCTGGAAGAAACGAAAGAGAAAAAGACAAACATGTTGATTGTGCCAAAAAACATCTATTCAGACACAGGTAATACTTAAACTGATCCAGAAACACTGTTGAGTGGTTATTACCTTCTTAATGGAAGTACAGGTTATGCTGAATTTGGCAAAAAGCCGTTGTTTAGAGCTCTAATACTACAAAACGTGTGATTGTTTGTGTTTTTAGACTTGAAGCACTAATCCTAAGTGTTAAACTTGAGTTATGAACTTCACTATGTAATGATAGATTGTGCTTTACCTGTAAAATGGTCTTCCAGGCAAACCCAACGGATCAATGAAAGCTCTCTCTAAATACATCAGCTGATCATTCACCATCCGCACATCCAGGGCACTGAGAGACCGATAAAGATAAGGTAACAGGTGCAATGTGTCATGAGTGACATCATATGACAGGCCATGAGACTCTATAATACAACACCTAACCTGTGTGTGAACTCAAACCTAGCATTTCAGTGCTGAAGACTGTGCTGTTGTTTTGTCATTCGTACTTAGAAGTGTCGAGCTGATCGAGGCGCTGATGAAAGTCTCGCGCTGCGACTGTGAAGTTCTCGACGGCTGAGAAGAGAGAATCTAGAAACATGATTAAAGAAGAGGTTGACTGTCAGGAAGCAAGATAATTCAAGAGTTTTGCATTTGACATGGAAATAATTGCATGTGGAGAGATGGGATGCATCCAAATTCTTATACTCGTATCTATGGCACATATTTTTAAAGTGCTACACTCTCAGATAGGGTGTTTTTGCACCTAAGGCACAGAAGAACCAGTTTTAGTTCTTGAAAGAAACTTTCAGTGATCAGTTCTTAAAGTGGACCTTTAATGTCCTTTTTCACATTCTTGGTGTTGTGTTTTGACTAAAGTAAGTTTTCACGTGTGAATGTTTATTATTTTTCCCATATTCTCCATTGTTGCCGTTCCTCTCTTCCCAGTCTGTCAGTAACACTGTTTAGTTTCTGTCTCTATAAAGCCCCTCCTTCTGAAAAGCACACTGTGCTCTGGTTGGCTAGATCATTGTGTTGTGATTGGTCAACCACTTTGAGTGTGTATGGGAAATGTCCCGCCCCTTACCATAACTGCCAGTTTCAACACACTACTAACTAACTCCACCCCTTTATTCTGCGTATGAATTATTTAAATGAGGAATATTATGACGCGTTCATTCCCGGAAGAAACTCAAGACTACGATGGAGGCGTTTCAGGGAGTTCAGAAACACTGACACTGATCATCACACACTAAAAAATCCTAATATTTCCTTTTTAATTTTTTTTTTTTTGATTGTGAATAACATTTTAATCATCTGAAGAAACGTTTTCCACTATAAAAAATCTTTTGTGTAATGGAAAGATTACATGGATGTTAAAGGCACTTCATTTAACTCAATGCCAATAAAGAGTCTTTATTTTTCAGAAGCCGTGTTTCCGCCGCAGGAACTGAGGACTTCGGGTGTTAGTCGGTGTGTGTCGACTGCAGGAACCACCAGGGTCTAAAAGTTCTGGGTAAATATTTCCCCCTCATAAAGACCCTGCTCGTGAGGTAGTACTCTTTCAAATTTCGGGAAATTTCGGGGTTGGTATTGGGCGCTGAACATGCGTATTGGTTGAGTTCATGCCGCATTTTGATTGGTTGACTCCACGCACCATTTTATTTCAATCACCATTTTTAAAAGTCTGTTGCAGTGCGTGCAGTAACTGTTGTTTGCTAAGCACTGAAGTTTTAAAAATACAACTGATGGACCGATGACGAGGTTCAGGCTTTATTAAAGGTGCTCTACGTGATGTTGGGTGACCTCACATCTTGTTGATGTTCGAAGTATTGTCAAACAAAACGGACGCTAACTCGACCCTCATCCGTGCACTAACTCCCCAAATCCTTCTTGTTGGTTATTGGCTCTAACACTGTTTATGTTTCGCGATGAGGTTGGCCCCAGTTTGTTTTTGTTGCTGTTTGTTGAGCCTGGGCTGTCTGCAGACAGTCCTTCCAGAAAAACGTAGAGTTTTTTTGTGATTGTTGCGGGCAAAAATCCTTGATTACGCGGCCCGTTTTCTTTAAAAATGCGATTGAATATGTGGGATATTTATGCAATTTTATGCGATGAAATTGTGGGAACTTGCAAAAACTGTCACTTGCAAATATCTAGTGTGAAGCAAAAACATTTTTCAACTTTCTGCTAAGATAATATATGTGACTTTTCTGCAACGAAAATGTGAGGATTATGAAATCATGCAAACCCCGCATAATTTGCACGGAAATCGTCAATTTATGCAGCGAAAGTGCGACATGTTAAAATTGATGTCGCACTTTGAAAATAACGATTAACACACTGGGAAAAAATGTGGTCTCTGTACAGTCCATCCAGAAAAATGTGATTATGCGATCGCTGAATTCAATGCAAAATCAGCCAAAGTCTGCATATTCACCCCCCCCCCCCCCCCCCCCCCCCCCGCATGAATATGCAGACTTTGGCTGATTTTGCATTGAATTCAGCGATCGCATAATCACATTTTTCTGGATGGACTGTACAGAGACCACATTTTTTCCCAGTGTGTTCAGGGGACAGTCAGCTAGCGGATAGTGAGGGGATGTTTGCTGTATGTGACAAAAAAAATTTGGACCTAAAAAACGCGTAACAACACTTAGAGCACCTTTAATCTCAATGAAACACCGCGGGACCACAAGCAGTCCTACGTCACCAAACTAATTTGCATGATCTTCAAGGTGCTCTAGACCACGGTGGACAAAAAAGAAAAAAAAAAAAGAAAAAAGTTCCTGGGACAAATTATTCCGGCTACTTCCGGTGGAAACACGGTTACGGTGCATAATTTGAACATACTAATCTTGCATATTAAATGATGGATAGTTTGTGTACCGAATGAGATGCCGAACTGCTGCATGGCGTCAGGATGCTTCAGTGCTAGCTGGTGAATGCTGTTAGCGTATTTGCTGAGAGATGAGGCGTATTCTCTACAGTCCAGAGGTAAGATCAGAGAATCAGCCAAACTGAAGATCAGTCCTCCTCGAACACGGGCCACCGCCTCCAGCCGCCGGAAACTCGGGTCGTAGAAGCGCTCCACGACCTCATAGGTCTCGTACACGCTGTGGTAAACCGGGTAACTGCTGTAGCGCTCGGTTTTCTGGGGGGGAAAGGTGGTACAAAACTATTGAAATGCTGCAAAAAAGTCTATTTTGCGTAGATGTAAACACTGACCCGGTTTTTGGTGTATCTCGCCCTTCCAGACGCAATCCCTAATCTGATGAAATACGCTTCAAAATCACTTCCAGAGCCCAGTTTACTGATCCTGCAGGAGAACACACACATTTGAGTTGCATGTGATGGATCTCCAATATCTATAATCAATCAGATCTTCTAGATGATTATGATGACGTCAGTACCATGGCGCATCTCTGTCTGTGGAGTTGTCTCGCTTGTGCCAGCTCTCGTACAGACTCATGCCCTCCTCTCCATCCTCTGGACTCAAAACCTTCACAAACATCACTTATTTACGCTAGCACATATTAACATCACTTATTTACACACATTTACACTTATTAACATCATTTGCATTTATATAGTGAGAAATATTGATAGTAAAACAGAACAATAGATAGACAGATCTTAATGAACTTTTCTAAACTGATTCTCACCTTCTTGGTGATGTCATAAACAAGAGTGTGAAGGGAGGGGGTGCAGTCGACCCTCAGTGTGTACATACCTGCACACACACACAAAATGATGAGTATATCTCTGTCTGTAGAAGCAGTGTTAATCTCATCTGTTACAATTTAAGTCTCTAGTTCAGATACTCTGTGTGTGTGTGTTTGTGTGTGTCACTACCCTCGATAGCAGAGTCTGCGTTGATGTAGGCCACGGCTCGCTCCTGCAGGACTCGGGCTTTATCCTGCAAACACACATGCAGCTTTCAGTAAACTGAGATTCATTTCATTCATTCAATGATTCGCTGTATTACCCGATTCTTTTGTTTAATCAAGGGTTCATTTTTGCATTCAACTGTTCAGTCATTCATTCATTCGGTCAAGTCACCTTCATTTATAGTGATTTTACCAATATAGATTATTCCAAAGCAGTGATAATAGAATGGTTTGGTTTTATAGTGGCTCTTGAATAATGTTATTTTCCAGCTAAAGTTACTGTAGTTTTGATTGATTCACTTCCGTTGCAACGATCATTATTAACTTAAGCGCCGCTTCTAACATGACGTTTATTCATTCATCATTGCAATTTTTTCATATATTCAATGATTCATTCAGGCATTTTCTCATTAAACCAATCAATCGTTCATTTATTTCATCATTAATTACATTTTCTACGCATTCAATCAATCAGAATACATTGATTCATGTATCCAGTCCCTCATTTGTTCCTTCTTTCATTCATTAACTCGTACCTCAGCCCATTCTGTGGATCCCAGCAGACCAAACTCTTCTGCATCCCAACTGGCAAAGATCAGCGTTCTCCTCGGCCTCCAGCCTGAAACACACACACACACACACACACACACACACACACACACATATGATCATTACAAAAAGAAACTGAGAACAAAATAAGTGTCCTGTTTAAACTGGCATTAAACTAGACGGTGAGACACACACACACCTCTCTTCATAAGTTGTCCAGCCGCTCTCACGTTCTCGTGCACCACAGCGGCTCCTGACACGGGATCAATCCCTCCGAAAACCCAAGCGTCACGATGGCCGCCCAGAATCACGTACCGGTCTGAACACACAGAAACACACTCGACTAGATCGTATAAAATAAACTCTCGAACAGAGTAACTCAACTCAGAAAAATCACCCTCTAAATAATGCCAGATAATGTAATGTCACCTGGCTCCACGGCTCCTCGGATCCAGCCAATCACGTTGTAGATACGGGTCACCTGATTGTTGGTGTGGATGTTCATACGTACTTTACTAAAATATCACAAAGACAAAAAACAATCCTTTATATTTCAGTTAAGAATTTTTTTACAAGGTTCTTGCAGGAGCTCAAACATGCTGCGTAACACGAGAATGAACCTCATTGGTTCTCGCACAAATCTGCTGAATTTCTGTGTGTGTGTGTGTGTGTAACTTGGGCTCGCCAAAGACAAGGCCATTGTGTAAACTGGCAGACCTCCAGAATTCATTTCTGAAAAACAACAGATCCACAGAAGTGTGTGTGAATCTTTCTGTGTGTGTGTGTTGTGAGAAGCAAACGTGTGGCCTCTGCCCCTGCATGAGATCGCGGAGGGCACAAACCTCTCTGCACTGCTGACATCATGCATTCAGATCAGTTAACGATTACCAGGAGTGTGTGAATATGTGTGTGTCAGCTGATTAAGATTGTGTAAAGTTGAAGTCTCACTTCAGATCAGCGGGATCAGAGGTTGAGGGGTTCAAAGTCGGGGATTTAATGGTTGAGGTTTTGACTTTGGTTTAGAATAGCAACTGTCTGACTGAACATAATCTACATTTCATTTCCTACATTAATTTCATATATACAGTAAACTTAAATCTTAAAGCTAGACACCAAATGTGACATGATTTGAACTAATATATATCATCACTGTCCATTAAGTATTGCAAATTTCTTAAATGTTATACTTAAATATGCAAATTAGACATTATGTAATTAAATAGAGTTTCATTGTGGATTTACAGGAAGGAAAGTCTCGTACTTCTGGCTAAATCCGTCCATGAATCCCGGTCCAAGTCGATACGAGATGTTGAGTGAACCCTTCCAGTTATCCGGAGGAAGAGGTCCACCCATATGCCTATAGGAAGTGACATCATATAATGACTCGTTTCAGGTGAGGTAAATATGTATGTATATATATATATATATATATATATATATATATATATATATATATATAAGATATTGCAAATTTAAATCAATGAAACAAATGTGATCAGCTCAAGCAAAAAAACTGATTCCCTATTCAATTTGACTATTAAATAATAATTACTAAATGATTAAATATTACTAATATTACTATTTTGTAGGGCTGTCAAATGATTAATCGTGATTAATCGCATCCAAAATAAAAGTTTGTGTTTACATAATATATGTGGGTGCACTGTGTATAATTATTTTGTATATATAAATACTTACACTTGCATGTATATTTAAGAAAAAAATATTTATATATAAAATATTGATATATAATATAAATTATATATAAATCTATATACACTATATACATACAAATATTTCTTAAATATATACAAGCATGTGTGTGTATTTATATATATATATAATAATTATACACAGTGCACCCACATATATTATGTTAACACAAACTTTTATTTTGGATGCGATTAATCACAGTTAATCGTTTGACAGCCCTACTATTTTGTATTATTATTTAAGTTCTAAATAAGTTTTATTATTTAAGTTATAAACTATTAGAATGATACTATTGTACTCTAAAAAAAAGAGTACTTGTATTACAAGTAATGTTTAACTATATTATGCAATCGATAAAACCACTATGTGATTAGCTTAGTACTATTGTACTGTTAAATGAAAAGTATTTAAAAATAATTTTTATCCCATCATATTGTTTTGGCCGCTGGCCGACTCACTGCAGCAGGAGAACCGCATCATGATATCCAATGGGATGCACTGGAATCCCGGGAAGCCCCACGGCGTCCTCCATGCTGGACCGGTACGTGTATTCTACCACACATTCAAAGTCATCATAAATCAAGATTCACTATTTATTTATGTATTACTATAAATGCATATTAATCCGTGTACATCATTATTATTTTTTTTGTGGTAACACTTTACAATAAGGTCGATTTATTAAACATTAGTTAATGAATTAACGAACATGAACTACCCATGAGCAATTCATTTGTTACTGTCTTTGTTATCGTTAGTAATAATCCAGCTGTTCATCGTTTGTCCTAATTAATTCACATTGCATTAACTAATGTCAACAACATTTGAATAAAGTATCAGTAAAAGTTGAAATTAATGTTTACAAAGATACTAGTTACTAATTTAGATACTAGTTAATAATTTAATAATTAATTTAATACTAGTTAATAACTACATTAGTTTGTTAATGTGAACTAATAAACTTTATTGTAAAGTGTTACCTTTTTTAAATTCATGTGCCTCGTAATCTTAAATCAAAATATCGTCCCTCCCTCTCACGGCGACATCTCTTCTCTGATGATGTGTTTATTGGCGTGAGGGCGGGGCAACCTGTCAATCACATGAGATCGACCAATAGCAAACCACAACCATCCAATCAATTCCCCTCAGAGAAAATCAAGCCCCGCCCTAATTTAGTCTTGTTCGAGAAGTCGTTTCAATGTCACAATAGAGAAGGAAAGACTAGCCTAACTGGTCTGTAATGTCCTGGAGAGTCTCTGTCGCACCTTTGGCCGGGTATCCCGGTGTGAGGGGGTCTCCCGCCCCGTTCAGGTTCAGGACGTTCCCTCTCTGAGCGCCTCCTCCCGGCAGGTTCCAGCCTTTGGGATACGGCTCAACGCCGTCCGCACAGTAATCCGCAGGGTCCGAGAACAGCACGATCCCTTTAGCCCCCGCTAACATGGCATTCTTCACCTGCAAACACACACACACACACACACACACACACAGAGGATTAGCTGTCCCTCCAAACCCATCTTTCTTATGTAAAGATGAAATAACTCATTGAACATTACATCCAAAGCTACCTTGTTCCCACGGAAGATTTTGCCATATCTAGCGATGACGATTTTTCCCGTACAGTTTATTCCCAACTCTCTCTCCAGCTTAAAGAAATCCTCCGTCCGTCCGTAGTTAACATACACCAGCTCATCCTACAATACACACACATCAGGTTACAACTTCTGTAAACTTACAGTAAACTACCGTTACATTTTTAATGTTATGCTCACCAAGCCTGCATTGGTAAAAACAGTAATATTGTGAAACAATATTAAAAGTTACAATAACTGATTTCTATTTGAATATATGGTAAAATATCATTTATTCTAGTGATCAAAACTGAATTTTCAGCATCATTACTCCAGTCTTCAGTGTCACATGATCCTTTAAAGTTTGATCATTTTTGAATGATGAAACATTATGAGAACAAGCCTTTTATTTCCTTTTGAATTGGATTAATCTAGCACAGATGAGACATAAACAGGGTCAGTTTTGAGTTTTATATTGTGCTGTATGTGTGGTGTGCATCACCTCTGGTTGACCTTTTGCAGAGAAAGCACTATAGGGAGGAACGATATCAGTAACATGTTCATAACCTTCAGGGATCGGCTCAGCCAGAGACGTTTTAAAGACCTGAGAGAGAGAGAGAGAGAGAGAGAGAGAGAGAGACATCTGCCATTGATTGAATTCTGCACTGTAATCAGTATAAAACATCCTCCGACAGAGTCATGGACTTTAATCTGTCACCATCACAACCTGCAGCCGCTGCTCACAGCCTTACTCGGTGACCAGATAAAGGCCTTAAAAACACACTTGCTCTTCATCAGGCTTCTGATGTCATGACAGAGAAAGAACAGAACATGTTCTTTTGACTGTTCAGATTCTAGATTTATACGTTTTTTGAGGGGTATTAAAAATGCATAAATGTCTTTCTAAAGAGCTAGAGAATATAAATGTTTTCCTTTGAAGAACTTTCTCCAATGACATCATCAGGCCTGTTTCATTCTAAAAATTCTGTTTTAAAGATAGAATTGTGGACTGAATAGAGCGCAACAGTCGGGTTCCAGAAATTAAAAACTCCATGATTTTCTCCTCAAAGGAATTGATTTTGAACGTTAAATTATAAACTGTGAGCAATGGGGTTGTTGATCGATGGTATTTGCTCGTGTTGAAGCCGTTAGCCTGCATTATTTCAGCTTAGTTTTAAAATAATTGTGTGTAACAGTGGAATTCGTGGTGAAAAACATTACCCATGATGCTGTACTGAAGATTACACCAATCAGAGTCGAAAAAAGCAACTCGCACAAAAATATCAAAATATGCCAAGCACTGCGAATAACGGGTCGAGTCAATGTCCCTACACTCAAAATATTGAAATGTTTGTGTGTGTATATATATGCATATTTTGCAATAACTCTAAAATATATTGTTTTTATACATATTCTCAACATCTGTAAATGTGTAGTTTTATTGTAGTTCACTAAAGCCGTTACCTTTGTATTTTTGTCTGATCGATTTTCAAAAGCTTTTTTGCTTTAAATCAAAGTTTGTGTTATGATTCACCTCAACACTGATTGGTTTGATTCATGGCTTAAAACGTTTTAACAACGAATTTATACATTCATATAATATAAAAATAAATAATAAATAAAAAATACAGGTGAAACTCAAAAAATTAATATTGAATATTAAAAGAATATTGTGCAAAAGTTTATTTATTTCAGTAATTCAACTAAAAAGGTGAAACTAATATATTATATAGACTCATTACATGCAAAGTGAGATATTTCAAGCCTTTATTTGTTATAATTTTAATGATTATGGTTTATGAAAAACAATATTCTAATTTGGAACTTGGGGTTTTCATAATCTGTAAGCCATAATCATCACAATTATTACAAATAAAGGCTTGAAATATCTCACTTTGCATGCAACAAGTCTAAAATATATTAGTTTCACCTTTTAAGTTGAATTACTAAAAGTTTTGCAACTTTTGCATGATATTCAAATTTTTCGAGTTTCACCTGTACTGTCCTCAACCAGCGCCGCTGGAAAAGCGGGTGGACACTAATGCACTCTATTCTATTTAAAAGAATGCAAATGTGTTTGGTCTGAAGAAATGCATGTGGGTCCAAGGAAACTTTGAGGAAAACATTTTGCAATTTTATAATTGTGCAACATCGATTGCAATATCTAAAGGGAACAGCGTCATGACTATCACTAAACACATCAGATTCCTTCAAAAGAAGCCTTGTGTGTGTGTGGGTTTCTGGTTGTCAGTATGAACCTCATTGCCCAGCTGGTCCACTATTGAGATGTAGTTGGGTGTTGTTTTATTTGGGTATGACAGCAACACGTCGTAGGGAACCAGCTCTACCGAGTCCAACCCAAACTCCCTCCACTCGGCTCCGATCTGCTCCGCCAGATCCAGATTCTGCTGCGTTCCTGCCAGGTGTGGAAGCCTGGTGAACTTCCTATGACAAACACAGTCTAGACTGGCCAATCTTAAAATGGGAAGCACAGCTAGGCTAGCAGGCTAACAACATCAACCAACCCAAAAACATCCATCATTCACTCCACATAAAACATTCGTCCCTAAACTAAACATAAATAATAAAGAAAATAAAAAGTTCATAAATTACCCAAAAAGGATGCAACTCCTACATTTATATTACCTATAATCCGCCAACAATACATGCAGTTGTATCACCACCTTACTGTGTGTTTTAGATGCACGTAATATTCAATAATATCAGGACTGGTTTATTTAAAGGCACCTGAGATGCTGTTTAATATTCTCTGCTTTCATCTCATCCAGAAAGTCGCGCAGGAAGCTTTTCGATGCGTGTCCATGATTGACAGTTGTAGGTCGAGCAAACCAGCCTAAGATGATGAGAAACACACACCTGTTACACCAAACCAGGTCTGAGACATATTCCCGATTCATCGGTTTAGATCATGATGATGATGGTGTCTGTTCAGAATTAAACATTAATGCACTCACTCTTAAAAATAAAGGTTACTAAAGGGTTTTTTTTTTTTCACAGAAATGCCATAGAAGAACCAGTTTGGGTTCCCCAAAGAACCTTTGACTGAACAGTTATTCAAAGAAACGAGTGTAAGGAACATTTGAAGAATGTTTTGTACAATAGAAATGTTCCATTAATGTTAAAGATTCTTCATGGAAGCACCAATTCCAATACAGAACCTTTATTTTTAAGACTGAGTGTAATGCATCATTGAAAGCAACAATAAACAGTGAGCAAAACATCACAAACATTTGTCGAATGGATTTTCATGACTTTTTTCCCATGCAGATTTGATTTAGCATGTTTATGAAGGAATCTAACTCAGAGAGAGCAAATTCTAGCAAATACAATATTTAAATCTTAACATAATTACACAAAATAAATGCATTCAGAAAATAAATATAGGCTACATCACTGATTTATATTTCCATGAGTTTTCCAGATCTTTAAAAAATAATAATAATAAATTCTCTGATATTTCCAGGTTGTGGGACCCTTAAACATTTCTTCAAGACTGTGTTTATCTGTAAACATATTTATCCAAATACAGGTATGTAAACACTTGTTTTAAAATAAAGATCTCAGGGTCTCAGTAGCCTATAGTCACACCTGTCCTAAAGCCAGACATTCAAGAAGTGAGGAATGCAGAAGGAGATCTGGACAGGTGAAACCAACAGCTGTCAAACACCACAATTAGATTTTCACCATAAGCAATGAAAAATGAATAAACATATGCGTTGATACTTCGGAAAAACCCTATTTGGCAACTTTGTGTCAACATATGGCAAAATAATGATGCACAAATGACTGTCTAAAACAACCTGTCTCGCGAGCTCATTGCACATGATCAAAAAATAACGTTACGTATTTGAAGGAAGAGAAACTCACCAATAATAAAGCCGATCAAGAAGAAAGCTGTAATAACCGTTAACCGGCAGATCCAGCTGATTAGTTTATCCTCAGATCCCATTTGACCAAGCGGCGCACATAACTTGTTGAAACTTGGAGAACCACAACTGCGAGTAGGAGAGAAGAGGAGGGAGATGTGGGCGGGTCTTGGTTGGCTTGGGTTCAAAAGTTCACTGCAGCGAATCGGTTCCTTTGAGTGAAAATGATTCACCAACTCGCTCGATTCATCCATGAAGTCCTCGCGCAGAATTTTACGCGTTCCTCTTCGCAGTGACAAATGTTTAAACATCACCGCTGATTATAAACCACTTCAACTAACCCTAATTATAAGCCTAAAACCTAGCTGATTTGTTCTCCCAACCTCTGACTAGCTAAAAAAAAGTCCCATCAAAATCAAACCACACTGACCATTTGAAGTAGCGCGACTTAACAGGTGTGGCAAAATATTGATCAAAACATAGACCTCTATATGCACTGAATTGGCTTTATGTCCAGCTGCACTACTTCCTGAACTTCAGCCAGCTCCTTGTTTCCTGTCTGCCTTTATTGGGCAAACTTAATTAATTCAGGTGTGTCTGATTATTGTTGCCATGACTACTGAGGTCAGGCACACCTGAATTAATTAATTTGTCCAATAACGGCTGCCAGGAAACAAGGAGCTGGCTGAAGTTCAGGAAGTAGTGCAGCTGTGCATAAAGCCAATTGATAATTAATTATAAATCTGTTCAGCATTTATTCTGCAACAAATATTTTTCGGATTTTCTAGACGTAAAGTGAACAGGATATATTAGGATGTAGCGCAAGGATGATACTAAACGGGGCAGATGGAGCCATCTATAGCTCAACAGCGCCCCCACAAATTTACAATGTAAATCTGTGGTGAATAATTGAACTGCACCGCGCTCTCATTTTCACGTGACCTTATAAACTGTGCTTTAAAAATGTGTTATTTTTTTGTTTTATCTTATGACAAATCTTATCATAAGGAATATTGGTTAGTTACTCCACTACTTCTTTTAGCTAAATGTATTATTCACAAATGTACATCTGGAGTAATAAGCCATATTGTTTTAAGTAGAAAAGTAGAAAAATTCAACAATACATAAACACAATATTGTGTTTTTAAAAAAGAAAACTGCAAAGTGTTTCAATTTGTCAACATTTTCAAATGTATTTAACTTTTAAGTTTGTCTCTGTTTTTTATATTCTAATCTGCTCAACATGTCTAAGTTGGCATGTCTGTTCTTCCTATGTGTGTGGAGTAGCGTATCAAATGAATGAAAGTATAAACCCTTTAGTTTTTAAACATGCTCATTTGCATAGCTTTTATATCAGTTTTGTTTGGTTTATTTTTGTTCTGAGAAAAGACATGACTTTGTTTTTCTCACTGGGAATTCCTAGCTTGTAATATTCTAATATAAATTTCAGAATTCGGACGCAAATAAATAGCCTACCTGATGCGTCGAGTGTAGGCTATTACCGTAAAAGTCTGTCAAACATCACTAGAGCGAATTCTTTGAATTCTACCAAATTCTACCAAAAGTGTGGCCGATGTGTTCAACGATTAAAATATTTAAAGCTTACAAAATTTTTATCTTAGCGATAAGACCTGGAATCTACCCTACCTAAATTTATGACAGGAGCCACTGATTTGAAGCCAGTTGATGGTTAGCACACTACTTTTGGCTGGTTGTTAGAGACTATTTTTCCCTCTTAATTCGATTCAGTTACATTGGTTCTTTCAGATAGGCCTACATATTTGTATTGGTTCTTTATACTATTTGTATTATTCCAAAATGCACAGCTAATTGTACTCTCAAAATGTGTTTAGGTTCAATCGAATCATAAAAATTAAGCGATTCTGAAGAACGATTCGCATGAGTCGGACATCGATCGGTTCAGTGTTCAGTAGTTCACAAACATGCGCACAAATGGGGTTCGGGCACGTACGTAGTGATCCTTAAATAAAACAGAGTTTCTGTTAATGTTAGTAAAAGTAAGGAGAAAGTTTGCGTAAAATGACTTAATTTTTAGCCGTTAACAGTAAGACTGCTGCAGTATGTTAACCGGCGTGCCCTCTCGGACCAGCAGCGTGAACGCGCTTGGAGGCGAGGAATGCGAAGGGAGAGACGCGGGTCGTCATGGTGTGTGTGAATTCTTAAAATGAAAATTGCTCTCGTTCAGCAATAGATGTCGCTGTTGACCCATGTTTGAAATAGCGTGTGTTTAAAAAAAAAAAAAAAAAAAAACGAAAAAAAAAAAACCCTACAAGAAATTTGGACCAAGTTTTAGACCTATTTTGTATATTTTATTTTATAACTTTGTTGGCATGACAAAATGTATATTTTGTATTGCCAAAGCATTAAAATTACATAACATCTGAACATTTGTGGCCTATATAGCCTAGCATAGCAAAAATAAATCAATAATAAAAACAAATAAAAAATAATAATAAATAAAAACAAGAAATACAAGTATTTAACAAATTAAATACAAGTGTTGGCCTAATGGAGTTTGTGACTGCCACTTTATTCGTAATGGCTATCATTTTCAATGGAGAAAGGCCTAATTATCAGTTTATCAATGACGAATAGTTTTAATTAGTCTACTATATTTTTTTACATTGTTCATGCTATTTTCATGAAATGTCATGTTAAAAATTGTTATTATTAGTTAGTAGTAGGAAAACCTCATTATTTATTACCCAGGGTTCACCCGACACAGGATGTTTGTAGAGAACCGGCGTGTAGTGGGAGGCGCGTGAGAACATGCATGCACACACACCACCATAATGATGCCGAACGGACAGCATCTGCACCGGTGTTGTTTGACGCTGATGTGCGGTTAAAAGAAGACTTGCGGTGCGGTGCGTAAAGAGCGCGCGCACGAGAGCGAAAGAGAGAATCATGAGCGTCGCGCTGAAGAGCTGGAGGGTCAATGAAGGTCCGAAACACTTGATCATGGTGAGAACATGAGAGATTTATGCGTATGCTGTCACTGGATCCACACAGGCGCGTGCACTGAGGTGTGTGTGCTTGCTGAGCAGATGAGAAGTTGTCAGTCGGATAGTTGTGCTTTATCTGTGTGTGTTGTTTTTGCGCAGATGGTTTGGGTTGCAGTGAATGTGTTTCTGTTCTGGAGATCATTCATGCTGTACTTCAGCGGCGCGCAGTATTACTATCTACATCAGATGCTGGGGGTAAGAGCGAACTTCATCGGTGTTTTTAAGTGTGGGATGTGCAGTTGTGTGCGTCAGTGTGTGCGTCTATTGACTGCAATGCATGATACAGTGTGTTTGTGTGTAGAGATTGAGCATTTGAGAGGGGTTTATGGGGTTTGAAAGATTTGTTTTGTTTGTAACCGTTTATTAATAATAATAATTTTCTGACTTTGGTGTCTGTGTGTGTTTAGAGAGTTTTAGATGTGTGTAGAGTTTGACAGGTGTGTGTTTGTCTTTTACAGCATGAGATGTGTGTTTGTATGTATGTACTTATGGTGTGTGTTGGTGTGATGTCGCTGTTGTCTTCTACACACCCGTGTGTGTATCAGGGTAATTGTTGTCACAGGTTGTTGTTTATGTCCTGGAAAGATCCTTCACAGACACAACTTTCTGAACTAAGACAGAGAGACCTTTTTGGCCAGAATTGGCAATCCCAGCAGTTTTATACTGTGTGTGTGTGTGTGTGTGTGTGTGTGTGTGATCCCTCATATGCAGCAGGGCAGTATTTCTGTATAGAGCTGAACAGGCATGTAACAGCATGCTCACTTCTGTTCTGTACTGGAAACTATTATCACACACACACACACACACACACACACACACTATCTCACATATACTGTACACTCACTCACACACACACACACACACACACACACACACACACACACACACACACACCGTCTCACATACACACAGAGATTTTCTACTTGATTCAAAAAAGTTGCTTTTCACCATTTTTTAAAAGAAAATTATTCTTTTGAATTAATAATAATTTTAAAGATAATAATATAAACATATCTAACCATAATATTATACAAAACATCTTAATATGTTTTGTGAAAAAAATATTAATTATTATTTTGAATGAATAATATCTAAGATAATATTATTATACCATTTTCTTCAAATTCAAATATTATCTTGCTAATATTTTTGTGAAAATGATGAATAATTATTTTGGATTAATATTTAAGATAACATTATATCCATTTCTTACATAATATGCTAACCAAAATATAATTACAATTTCTTAAAAGTATAATACTATCTTTTTACTATTTTTGTGAAAATTATTCATTAGTTTTGATTTTTTTTCTTGATGTTTTTACTACATGAATGCCAATTATTTTGTTCTTTTTCTAAAACAGTGTAAATGAGTTTTAAAGTATATTACTGCGTGCATCATATCTGGGCTCATTGAGAAGAGTGTAACCCATGTGTGTGTGTGTGTAGCTGGGCCTCTGCATCAGTCGAGCGTCGGCCTCTGTCCTGAACCTCAACTGTAGTCTGGTGCTGCTGCCGATGTGCCGATTACTGCTCACCTTCCTGCGCGGCTCCCAGCGGGTGAGACACACACACTGTAAACGCATGCTCCAGATCTCAGTGAACGATTCCTCATGCATGTTTCATTCATTTATAATCGGATCCTCTGGTGAAAACCACAGACTTGACACATGTCAATCATTAGTGCACTTAAATTCCGCCCCTTTCTCACACTAGATTCAGATCTGCCTCCATCCCAGCAATAAATGTTGGAAAAAAACACATTATTTTCCGATGATGTTTCTCTCGTATCAGTTCTTTCATCATATCGCCACTTTCAAAAGCATCTTCACATAGGCTTTAAATCCTGCGTAAACATGCACTAAAATCATACAGAGCCTGTATAAAACTGAGCAGCTTTAAATCGTTTTCTATATTTATAATTTCAATTCTGCATACATGTATAGTGATCAAAAATGACAGATTTTGTTTTATATTTCAATGAAATGAAAGTACTGTATTTTAGATTGATGTTTTTTTTATTTATTTAATATATTTGAGCAGATTTTATGGTACTTGTTATGATCCATTTATTTCCTGTTAACCACTTATTTAGCGAAGAAATTAAATTTCAAACTTGAATCCTGAATGCTTTTGGAGCACAAAGTTAAATCTGGTCTCTTTTTAAAGGCTTGATTTATTGCTGATTTCTATTGCTCTATTATTATTAATAAAGAACTGTATTTGTCTGCTGTGACTCCTCCCCTCAGGTGACCAGTAGACGTGTCCGTCGGCTGCTGGACAAGAGTAAGACGTTTCATGTGGCGTGTGGAGTCTCTATATGTGTCTTCTCAGGTGAGGAAATGTTGTTTTATACATGTACTCGACATTTGTAAACGAGTCGTTTTATATTTCTCTATTTTTCTTAACTCCATTACGCTGCTCGCAATGCATCATGGGATTGTAGTTCTTTTCTTTCCCTCACCAAAGCTTAAAGGGATAGTTCACTTTGATATTAATTTTTGGTATGTTTTATCTTACCTCAAGGGCATCCAAGATGTAGGTGTCTTTATTATCAATTTTGATAGTTTTAGGTCAAAGCGTTCTTGTCTGTCAGTCAGATATAATGCAGGTCTATGGTCACCACCTCAAAGAGCATGCACAGAGAAGTCCAAATTAAACATGATTTAATGACTCGTTAATGTAAGTACACATTGATGGCCTAAGACATACGTAAGTTCACAGTCTGATTTTCAAGTACTTTTTTGCTTCAAATCAAAGTTTGTAGTGTTATGATTCACCTCGTAGCTTTAATGAAGACTTATAAGAGAAATTAATTGGACAAATACTAAAGTAGGCTGACTTCCTATAATGCTTTATTCTCCAAAATATGCTTTAAACGAGAACTGCGAAACAGAACCGTTATGCTGCAAAATGTCTATTATACTGGCGATAAAGTGTCTCAAAAACACGATCTGACTCAATGATCCTTCAAACTTCGTCAAATCCTGTGACTTCTCCCTCAGATGTGTCATATAACAGCCTGGAAACTTGATTTGTTTTGTTCGTCAGGCCAAACAATCAGATGCTGCTTATCATTTTGCTAAAGATTGTATCATTTTTAGTACATTATGAACCAGAGAGTCAAACTGACTCCAGAACAGTGCAGAGGGGGAGGAAGCAGATAATTGAGGTTGAGTCACTAGTGTGTCTGAAAACGTCTGTGTGTGTGTGTGTGTTGCTGTCTGAGAGTTTGACTTGGTTAAATGTCTCTGTCGTCTAATGTTACAGTGCCAGACTAGAAGGTTTTAGCGGCTGACAGGTGTGTGTGTGTGTGTCTGCAAGGCAAGTTTATTTAAAGGGATACTCCACCGTTTTTTCATATTAAACTATATTATTCCCTTAACTAAGATGAGTTGATACACACCTCTGTCGTCTCAGTGTGTGCACTCAATCGCTCGAGACACTTTGATCGCACTTAACTAGCCCAGTTCATTCAATATGGGCCAAGCAGAGAAGCGTCCAAACATCTCCACGTTTCCCTATTTAAATACAGTTACATGAGTAGTGTAACTCAACCTAGGACGGTGACACAAAATAAAAGTTGCGCTTGTCTAAGCGTGTAAAGTGGATAAATATATTGTATGGTGGAGTACCACAGCAATAACTGGGCTAGTTAAGTGCTATCAAAGTGTCTCGCTCGCCAGTCTTAGTTAAGGGAATAACATAGTTTAATATGAAACAACGGTAGAGTATCCCTTTAAATAGCACACTTCATACACTATGGTACTGTGGCAAGTGCTTCACACAGAAATTCATTCAAATAATGACAAAACAAAAGCAAGGAAAATTAAAAACGTTAAAAAAAAGGAATTAAAGATGATACACAGATAAACTTCTCATCTGGCAAAACACCGGTGTATCATATTTTACACAACTCCCAGTTTTACTCTGAGATTTTCTCATGGTGATCACACTGTCTGTGTTGTTCTTTCGGCACGCCTAAGAAGTCTATTGGACCTGATTTTTCCTAAAACTGTGTGTGTGTGTGTGTGAGACAGAGAGAGAGAACACAGGAATATCCCGAGGGATTCCCAGCTGTTTTTTTGTCTTGTGTCTGAAACCCCCCCTCCCATTTCCTGTCTCGTTGCATTGTGGTCTTGTTCTAATTACAGAGCTCTGAGGCATCCAGTTAACATGACAACTACAACACACACACACACACACACACAAAGAGAGACGCTGAATAGACAAATTGTCTCCCACACATGCTTGACTTATGCTGTCATTCCTAGTGTGTTTGTGTGAGTCTCTGATGTGGTGTGTGTGTGTGTGTGTGTTTATCTCTGCAGTGGTGCATGTGTGTGCTCACCTCGTGAACATGGTCAGTTTCTCAGTGAGATATTCAGAGGATTTCCCTGCGCTCAATGTCGCTCAGTATCGAGGACAGGTAAACATTACAAAATATTCCTAAATGCATTTCACACACACGGAAACGAATAATCCTTCAGAAAAATGTCCAATGATAAATCATGTTTCTGAGGGAAAGTGTCTTCTGCTCACCAAGCCTGGATTTGTGATCAAAAATACAGTAAAAACAGAGAAATTGTGGAATATTATAATAATTTCATATATATTCTTATATGTTGTAAAGTGTAATTTATTCCTATAGACCATTTCACAAGATGTAAACACTGGTCCAGAAACACTTCCTGTTTCAGTTTGTAACTGTTTTCTTTATTTCACATGTAAAGAAAACATCTTAAAGATGTTGTTTACCTTTTTGATTCAGTTTTAAATGTTCTGTTGGTTGTATTTTATCCCAGCTTTTATGTAGTGTTAAAAAACTGAAACAGGAAGTGCTTCTGGACCAGTGTTGTTTACATCTTGTGAAATGGTCTATATTTCCAGCATCATTACTCAAGTCTTCAGTGTGACATTATCCTTCAGAAATCACTCTAATATGATGATTTATTATTATGATCATGATGATGTTAAATATGAACATTTGTGATTATTGTGAGTGTTAAAAACAGCAAAAAGTGCTGCTTCATTATTTTTTGGAGATTGTGATATACCACTATTCAAAAAGTCTGAGGTCCATAAGATTAAAAAAAATGGGTTGAAAAGGAAAGAAATGAAGTTTTATTCAGCATGAATGCATTAAATTGATTTAAAGTGACAGTAAAGACATTTATAATGTTACAAAAGATTCTATTTAAACTTGATGCTGTTCTTTTCATCAAAAAATCCTGCTTTTTTATCACCGTTTCCACATAAATATGAGGCATAAAATATGTAGCAGTACAAATGTTTTATTTTTAATAGCCTAAAAAACTAAATGTTCAGACCACATGATCAGCCAAACTCTACTCAATGTATCTCAGTAATCTCATTATTAGACACTTTTAATAAATAAATAAGTCATGGTTGACTGAATAAAGCAGTTTAAATGTTGTATTTTTGTGGGATCCTATATTTCAACTCAAAATAAACAGATAAATAAAGTAAACCCCCTTTAAATGTGGCATTTATAGTTTGATATAGTTGGTGTTACTGTTTGATTTGCTGTTGTGTGTGTGTGTGTGTGTTTAATCTCTTCAGGATCCCACAGTTCTCATCATCAGCACAGGTGACTCACATTTCTACATCATTCATTTAGTGAAACATGAATTATGATATTTAATGTAAGATGTGGACTCTTTGTGAACGTTGTCTCTTTTTATTTTTGGGTTAATGTTGGATTTCCAGCTGAGGTGCTTAAATTTCTCTCTAACTGAATGAAATTAATATTTCAGGTTATTTCAGACAACTTAATGGCTAAAGTTACTAAACTTACGGTTACTTTAACATAGCTAAATGCTATTATAGTTTTAATTAATATTTTGAAATAATTTTTATATAGTAATTCTATGTGCTTTTTGTGAATTGTATTAGTTTTTTTAATATTACTGTTTAATACATTTTTACATTAATTTCAGTTGTATGTTAGTTTGAACGAATCTCTTGAATGAATGATTCAATGACAAATACAGTTTTAAGTCAGTTGTCGCCCCCTACTGGTGTAACAATGTAATAGATCAAATCCGTGTTTTAAGCGCCACATTATTTTCAAAATTTGTTTTACTTTTCTTTTTTTTTCTTCGCTTCCATAGACATCAGTTTTAGTATCTCAACTATACACTTTCATCCCATTACTTCTGTGATAATTATAATACAGAAATAATGATAGTGTGTGGTTGTTTGTGAAGATGTTTCATATCTACACATGATAAGCGCTCTCTCTGATCAGAACGCAGATCTCATTTTCCACTGTGAGTTTTGTCAAAGGTTTAATAGACACAGTCGATCGTTGTCATTCAGAAGTAAAATCACGTGTGTATTTGAGATCTTTTAACGATTAATCGTGCAGCTCTATTGATTTATGTTGTGTTAATATAATACCTCTCCTCTTAGTTCCTGGAGTCACTGGAGTCCTGCTGGTGCTGGTGTTGTTTCTGATGTTCACAGCGTCGTCTTACTCTATTAGGTGAGAACCTGAAAACCTTTAAGAGTTATTTGACCCAACTCTGACCCTAGTCTCCTCTCCCTAGACAGACTTTACACACACACACTCCACTATAATCAGCGAGACCATTACCTGGAGGGGTCCGTCCCCTGTGATTGATCTCTCCATTGTCCTGCTGTAATTGAGTTCACTCCAGGACACTTCAGGAGAAGAGACCTGGGCACTGTGCTTTAGATGCTCTTTTATCTCGCTCTTCTGTTTTATGTGAGTGTAATTGTGTGTTTTTTTTCTCAGAGTCTCAAACTACGAAATATTCTGGTACACTCACAACCTCTACATCGTGTTCTACATCATCCTGATGGTCCACGTAGTGGGGTGAGTTAATAAAGGCATTTCCTTCACACATACTGTACATTGAGATTAAAATATTTATGCAAGATTAGAATTTGTGCATCAACACAGACTTATTTTGTCCCTTTCAAAGTATTGGTTTTGATTTTGGGCTCTACAAAAATAGATTTTAATTCTTTCATGCACAAAAACACATTGTAAAGTCTGCAAATTGGGATGTTTATTCCTGTACGCTTTATGTGATATGATTGGAGCCTCTCTATCCAATAGGGGAGCTTTAAAGTATCAGTCAAACGTGGAGGCCCACCCTCCTGGCTGCTTGCACAGCAATCTCAGTTCAGGCTCACGGACCAATCACAGAGCAGCAGGAGAGAAGGGGGAGGAGCTCTCACTACAGATGGTTTGTCAAGAAGAGGCCCGTTTCCAACCACATTTCCCACAGGTCCGTCTGTCTGATTAAAAGTAAATAATTGCATCTGGACATGTTGTTTGTATTATATCTTTGTGTATATCTGTATGTGAATGATTATCAGTCGTTGAGTGTGTGTGTGTTTTAGACGTGGTTGTGGGTGTCGGGTCCTCTCTGCCTGTACTGTGCCGAGCGCTTGTATCGTTTCATAAGAAGCAGCGCTGCTCCTGTTACCATAGTTTCTGTCGTTAGCCATCCCTGTGATGTCATAGAATTGCGCATGCTGAAGAAAGGCTTTAAGCCCCGCCCTGGACAGGTAAGCCCCACCTCCACACGGTTACATTAGAATTTGATGAATTTAGAACTTTTGAAGAGGAAATTGCTCTTCTTTAAAAAACAAACATTTAAAACGACAATTGAGAGCCTAAGTCCCGCCCCTCCGCTGACGGCTCATGGGACATTATTTCGGAAAAAATATGTATGTTAGTCAATGGCGAGAGACAACTTCTCTTTTTTTTCCGTCTGAACTGTGCCCTGAATTACACATATGATGTTTGTCAATTTAAAAGATAATTCTGAAAGTCAAGAAAGTCTCAGTTTGTCATGAAACAGAAGAGTAACATGTAGTTTTATGTGAAAATCGCTCGATGAACTACATCTCCCGGGAAGCGAATCAATGAGCAAGATCCGCTACTCGTGTGTGTGCGGTCTGGAACAACAAACTCAGGCATGACGGCGTAACGTTACGATTATAACGTAAGACTATAGAAACAATGACAGACAATAGCCTCAGCAAAGTTAGCTTCATTCCTTGAGAGAAAATGTGCGTCTTTGGGGTTTGTAGTCCTTTCAAGTATGTATTTTTACAGTCTTATACCTCAACAGTTTTACGTCAAACTGCGACTTTCTTTACTTTAAAATGTATCTTTTAAATTGACAAACATCACATGTGTAATTCAGGGCACAATTCAAACCAGATCAAAATATTTGTCTCTCGCCATTGACTATCATACAATAAATATCCGAAATAAGGTCCCATGGTGGTCGACCAGAAGGGGAGGGACTTAGGCTCTCTATACCGTTCAAAATTTTGGGGTCAGTAAATAAAAAATAATTTTAATCAGCAAGGACACTTTAAATTAATCAAAAGTGACAGTAAAGACCTTTATAATGTTACAAATAAATGCTGTTCTTTTGAACATCCTATGCATCAAAGAATACAGAAATAATGCATCATATATTTCAGAACTGTTTTCTGTGGAAGCGTGCTTCCGCTACTGAATAAAACATTTCTCACGATTCAGACTTTCTTTCTCACAATTTTAAGTTTGCATCTCGCAAAGTCAGAATTATTAGATATAAACTCGCAATTGTGAGAAATAAAGTCAGAATTACGAGATGTAAACTCGCAATTGTGTGATTTCAAAAAGTTGCAATTATCTTTTAAAATGTTTTATTCTTTGGCAGAAACAAGCTTCCAAAGTGTTCATAAATGTTTGAGCATCAAATCACCACATTAGACTGATTTCTGAAGGATCATGTGACATTCAGCTTTGATCACTGGAATAAATGACAATTTTAGATTATATTAAAACAGAAAACACTTATTTTAAAGTGTATTTATATATTACATTATATATTTTATAATATTTCAGGTTTTACTGCAATTATGGTCTAATAAATGCAGCTTTGGTGAGCATTTTAAAAACATAAAAAAAATCTTGTTTATGTGCTTTTCCTGTATTTATTCAGTGTGTGTTGTGTGTGTGTTTGTGATGCGTCCTCCAGTACATCCTGCTGAACTGTCCGAGTGTGTCGTCATTTGAAAACCATCCCTTCACTCTCACCACCGTACGTGCATTTAAGTGTGTGTTACTGCGTTCATGATGTCATGAGATAAATGCACATAAACACTAACACAAAATCATAATGAATTTGTATTGGTCATAATCACATTTTAATTGCATGTTGACATTTTATAAGTGAGTTATAAATGTTTGCATAAAGAATTATTCTGAGCAATATCATTTTAATGCTCATTGCATTGTAGTTATGATTTCCAAAAGCATAAGGCAGCATATGAACATGAACAGGGCGATGATGTAATGCTGAAGATTGTTATAGTATCAGCTCTCTCTCTCTGAAACAACACATTTCATCATGGCCCAGGGAATGTTAAAAGCATTAAAAAGCATATGTTCATTTTTAAAACATGCAACATTTGGCAATAAATCTCTCCATTCACACACACTTACAAAGTTTGCATTGTCTGCCAAGAACTTTGTTCCTCTCACACACACTTTGCTTTGAGTTTTCCTTCCCCCAGGGGTCTTTAATGCATGACTGTACCTGATCCTCACAGCCCCTGCTCTCTCTCTGTGTGTGTGTGACTGTGTTCCTCAGTGTCCGACCGGGACTAGTGAAACATTCGGCATTCATCTCAGAGTGCTGGGAGACTGGACCTGTGAGTACACACACACACACACACACACACACACACACACACACACACACACACACACAATGACACACATCCATAATAAATAGAAGACCATGTGATCTGTATTATCTAGTTCAAAGGTTTCTGTCAAAATGTGTGAGTTTTGGATTAAAACACTCTTGAACACACATTTTTGTTGGCTCAGTCTTGTACCAGACTCTTTCCATTATGTCATACTTGAGAGATACTAGTTCCCAGAAGGAAAACACACTAACAAAAGAAATACCACATACCCCCTGCAAACACACATGCTTAGCGGGCGATAAAACAGGAGAAAAATAAGAGAGAGCCAGTAAACGACTGCCTAGCAATGACCTAGCAACTGCATAGCAACATGCTATAAACCACATGGAATCACACAAAATACCATAGAAATGGCTTTAAAAAACTCACAGAACACTTTATCAACCACTTTGCAACCTTTTAACAACAACTAGAATCTTTATAACGCCTTAGCAACCACATACAACATACCACCCAAAACCCCATGGCAACATCATAGCAAGGTTCTACTGTAAAAATACTTAGAACACAAACACCATAGCAACCACAGCAACAAACCACATAGCAACGCACTAACAACCACCCAGAACCCCTTGGCAACTTCATAGCAACGTACTTAGCAACCGCATAATATGTCAACACCCACCTAGAACCCTTAGCAACCACATAGAGAAACACTAACAACCACCCAGAAACCCTTGGCAACTTCATAGAAATGTGCTAAAAACACTTAGAACACCTTAGCAACCACAGAATGTGTTAACACCCACCTAGAACCCTTAGCAACTTCATAGCAGCATACTAAAACACGTAGAAACCACATAGCAACACACTAACAACTACCCAGAACCCCTTGGCAACTTCATTGCAACGTACTTAGCAACCACATAATATGTCAACACCCACCTAGAACCCTTAGCAACCACATAGAAACACACTAACAACCACCCAGAAACCCTTGGCAACTTCATAGAAATGTGCTCAAAACACTTAGAACACCTTAGCAACCACAGAATGTGTCAACACCCACCTAGAACCCTTAGCAACTTCATAGCAACATACTAAAACACGTAGAAACCACATAGCAACACACTAACAACTACCCAGAACCCCTTGGCAACTTCATTGCAACGTACTTAGCAACCACATAATATGTCAACACCCACCTAGAACCCTTAGCAACCACATAGAAACACACTAACAACCACCCAGAAACCCTTGGCAACTTCATAGAAATGTGCTCAAAACACTTAGAACACCTTAGCAACCACAGAATGTGTCAACACCCACCTAGAACCCTTAGCAACTTCATAGCAACATACTAAAACACGTAGAAACCACATAGCAACACACTAACAACTACCCAGAACCCCTTGGCAACTTCATTGCAACGTACTTAGCAACCACATAATATGTCAACACCCACCTAGAACCCTTAGCAACCACATAGAAACACACTAACAACCACCCAGAAACCCTTGGCAACTTCATAGAAATGTGCTCAAAACACTTAGAACACCTTAGCAACCACAGAATGTGTCAACACCCACCTAGAACCCTTAGCAACTTCATAGCAACATACTAAAACACGTAGAAACCACATAGCAACATGCTAACATCCACCCTGAACCCCGTAGCAACCACATAGCAATGTGCTAATACAGTTAGAACCCCATAGCAACATACTAGCAACCACCCAGAACACCGCTCACATTTTCTAAAAATCTAGTTGACATAAATTGTTTGTACATGCGTATACTGATTTACTTTTTGTCTGTAAATTTCAGCGAGATTTTCTCTTCTGCTGCTTCAACAGTCGAACAGCTCAGAGATCCTTCCCATGATGCAACAGAGGCGATATCCCAAGTAAGTCTGCTGCGCTGTGGGAAACGTTTCAGTGGCGTTCATAAAGGTCATGATCTCTCACAACACTGTATACTGGGAGGCGAAGTGTAATTTCCTGGGATAACCGCAGTTTTCCTGCTTTGTGTGGGCGGGGTGTCAGGTGACAGGCTTTGACAAGAATCATCATCCAATCAGAATCATAACATCCTTTTTGCGCATAAAATCGTTTTTTTTGTGGTTGTTGTTTTTTTTGCAGTAGTTCAGCCGTTCATCCTGTGTGTATTTGTGTATGTGTGCTTGTTTTTTGTTGTGTGCAAGCTTCCTTCCTACTCTGGTTTTATCAGTGGGAAACCCTCACTGGCTGTTGCGGTATTTTCTTATTGATTGGATGATTGACAGATTGATTTTTGAATAGCATACCGCTTGTACTAATGTTACAGTATGCATACTGTGCACAATATGCTAATTCTCTCCATGGAATACATAAAACTTTCAAAGTTCTGAATAAGAATGCCGTAACATTAATAGAACTTTCAAATAATTCTGCCTGGTCTTTAAAAATATCCATTGTTTTCTGAAACATTTTTGTTGGATGTTTTTTTAAATGTTGCTATTTGCTTCAGAGAACATAAAAAAGAAAAAAATATTTTAAAAAATGTAAAAAAAAAAAAAAAAACTGTTTTTGAAAAAAACTTTGTTTGCAAGGTGATAAAATTTAATATTTCCTAGACCAAACCAAGAAATTATTTTTTAAATTTTTTTATTTTTTGGCACATTCAGAAATAATGCGTTCATAACTTAATGGGAGACAAACGTTCTTGGAACATAATTTAGCTAAATGTGTAGCATACAGAAACTAGAATGCAAATATTCCATTAGTTATGTTTCAATTATAGCTTATTGCATTTATATTCCATGCATACGGAGCATGCACTTTATGCGTACTGTGAAGAAATGGCACAAATAGTATGGAAATGCTTTATTATTTGATCTTCATGTTATCTCTCATCTCATTGGTGGTTCTGCTCTCTTGTCCCGCCCCAGGCTGCACGTGGATGGTCCGTTTGGCAGTTCGTCAGAGGAGGTGTTTAATTACGAGGTCAGCGTGTGTGTGGCGGGAGGGATCGGAGTCACGCCGTTCGCCTGTGTTCTACAAGCTCTCTTGTGAGTGGTCAGACGACCTGTCAATCATGCTAACTGTGACATCAGAACATTCTTAAACACTGGTGCTGTGTTCTAAACGGAACACTAGCTTACTACAAACTACACACACCGTACACACTGCATTCCTGGAGCTCAAATGGCGGAAACAACGGCTAGGTCATGTGTTCAAATCCCAGGGAAAGCATTATATGTCACTTTGGATAAACGCATCTGACAAATGCATCATGATGATGATGCAAATTCTAATGCAATTTTAAACCAATATGCCTCAAATTTGTCTGTCTGATCAAATAATGTAGAGATGTAAAAAAAAAAAAAATTTATCACACTGTATATAGAAACTCGCAGTGGAATGTATTGCATTGTGGGATGGATCATCCCAGTATCCATGCATACAGAAAAGACACTGCACTTCATACATGAAAAATAGTTAGTATGGTCGGACGTCATTCATTGTATAGGCATGTAAAAACATGTGTTTAGGCATGTGTTTAGACTTTTAACGCATGAAAGCATGAAAATCCACAGCAAAGTGTGTGTAAATGTGTGTGTGTGTGTGTTGCAGTGATGACTGGCGTCAGTATAAGTTGAGGAGGATGTACTTCATATGGGTCTGCAGGGACCTTCTTTCCTTCTATTGGTTTGCTGATCTACTGTGTGGCCTTCATGAGCGGGTAAAACACACACACACACACACACACAAACACACACACACACACACATGGATTTGAAATCTCAAAAATGTATGAATTTCATTGTAAAATCATATTCAAAATATATATCATTTCTGCAGTATGCATGAGTTACTGATGTCTACACTGCCACCTACTGGCTGCATATGTTAATGTGTAATGTGGGCTGATATTCAGTAACTTCAGTAATTCTTCATATTTATACTATTGAAAAATCCTCTTTAACCCTATAAATCTTACTGTATCATATATGAGGCCTGTAAGTGATAAACATGATCAAAATATCACATAATCTACTCTCGTCTGATTGATAGTTTACACTTTGTAAGCAATTAAATGTAATATTATTATAATTGTACTAACGTCCACCCTTGCTAAACTGATTTATATCAATGATTTTACTGATTTTTGTAAGATAAACGTATATATTCTCAGTAATATTTCAAGATGAACACTTAGGAAGCAAATTAGTTTTACTTGATTATCCAGACAATTTTTCTTTTTTTTATTCATGAGTCTCAAATATGATCATCGGGCTTTTAAGGAAGGCTCATCTCTCAACCATCACTGTATTGCATTATATATTTTAAAACTACAGGGCTTTGATCATAAAACTAAGCATTTAAATATGATCTTACTAAGACATTACTAACGGATACAGAGCAATTTTATGTCAGTATCTACTATACTGTTATAAAGATCTTATTCATTTACACTGAAATGATCAGAATTATAAATATCAGCATAATATCTGATTAAACGTAGCTGGTTTGAGCGCCATGTAAAAAATGATCGTAATTTTAACTGTAAAAGACTGTAAAAATGCTACAGTGCAAAACTGTTAATCGGTTAACAGAAAGTTTCCGTACTATATAGATCTAACGGTACATTTAATGTAATTTTACTGTAAAATACCGTAAATTTACAGTTTTTGAAAGTGAAAAAGAACAACTCGTATAATTTGCAGTGAAAAAAAACCGCAAATTGACATTCCCACAATTCCCTGTGTGCCACTTCACATTTGACATTTTTGTTGAAATAACTGTTTTTTTTTTCTAATCAGTTATGTACATAATAGGGTTTTATGTTACATGCAATGTTGTTAAATTAATGTTTTTTGCATTTTTTAAAATTTCATGTGTGTTACAATGATGGTGTGTAATGTTTGTGTGAATAACACTGTGCAGCTTCTATATATTAGTATTAACTTTATTGTGGATGAGCTTTGATTGATCAGGTGACTCATCACTGCTGTGATTGGTGGTTTTCAGTGTATTATAATGGTACAAAACGGATATTAATACTTCAGTTTGTCGGTAAATCAACATTATATCAGATAATGAAATACAGTTAATTACTGTAAATTTTAAGTTAAGTCTGTAAAACCAATAACGTTGATACCATATTTTTGATGGTAAAGTCAGCTGCCGGTATTTTACCGTAAAAATTGAGTTATTGAGCCATATGAAACACTGACTGTTGCTTCGTTCAGGCTTTACAGTGTTAATATCCTTCTGTGTGTGTGTGTAGCTGTGGCGGGACAATCGTCCAGACTATCTGAATGTTCAGCTCTACCTCAGTAACACTCAGGGATTACAGGTGTGCACTTTCAGCTCAGTTCTTATCAGCTTGTTACTAATATTATCTTAAATTGTGAGTTTTAGATGCAAGCTCTGTCAAATATTATTTTATATTATCCATAGCTTCATTATCAGTTGCATTTCTTCACCTCATTGTGTTTTTTGAAGAGCATCGGTGAGGAACGTTACCGTTTCTTGAGCTCCAGGCTTCGGATTGGTCGACCAAAGTGGAGGCTCCTTTTCCAGGAAATAGGGAGAGCCAATCAGCTGTGAGTGATCAATGCAGTTTGAAATAATGTATTAATACGGGCTGTTTTAATGGTTGCAATAATGAAAAATGTGTGTGTTTGTCCCGCAGTAAAAGAGTGGGTGTTTTCTGCTGTGGACCCAAAGGGATCTCGAAAGCGTTACACACTCTGTGCAATTCAAACCCACACTCGGGAACTGCCTTTGAGTACAACAAAGAGTCCTTCAGCTGAGGGAGCGCTAACCAATCGATTAATGCCAGAAACCTAAGGTCAACCGACCAATCGATTAATGCCATACACCCGAGGAATGAGGAAAAATGCACATTCGTCCTCGTCTAAAAACCAATCCTCGGACAATGAGAGCCAGGAAAGCGTGTAGCAAGAGGGAAAATGTGCAGTTTTGCTCATATTCAAGGAATATTTGTGATTCTGCATGTGGAGTTTGTCTACATGAACCCTTTAAAACTCGTACCTAAAAAAGTACCAGTTCACCCAAAGATGAACATTGTGACATCATTTACTCACACTCATGTCATTACACACGTTTTATTGGCTTTTATTTCGGTGTATTTTATACCTTTACAAACACAAACTTGCACATAAAGCATACATTCTCGTTCGTTTTAAATATTTATTTTGTACGGCACAATAGTTTTTCGACATTTGTATTGTTCATATTTTATTATTAAGATTTATTTGCTCATGAAAGTGTTCAAATGAACTGCGGTGTTGTAATAACACTGCCAAAAGAATTTATTTAATCACTGATTAGTCTTTTTAATGTTATTTTGTATGCATATTAAATATAAAGATACAGTACGTAAGTGTCACAGTGACTGTTGAAGCACCATAAATATCATTGAGAGACCAATACAAGCTCACCGTTTATTTATTGCATTATGCAACAATATGCATTTTGAAAATGGTAATCTGACCTCACTATTGTGCATTTGCAATCGTCTCGGAAATGAAAGTATCGTTTTGCAATTTAAATCCAATGTTTTACAACAAAAAACCTACAAGAAAAGGAGAGAAATGTTTGGGAGAAATTGCTTCAGGGTTTGTTCATCGCACTGGAAATGAAGTCAAGTGACACGCATTGCATTATGGGATGCACTAGTTTATTCTGGTTTTATACGGCTCATTTTGACTAATGTAGTGTTTACCATTTTTTACAAATTGTTAAGATTTGTTTTTGAAATTAGTCTCTTTTGCTCACTAATGAATTTATTTGATCTTAAAATACATTAAAAAAAAACTGTGAAATATTATTACAATTTTAAATATCTCTTATATTTGAAGATATATTTTGAAATGTAATTTATTTCTGTGATCAAAGCTGATCTTTAGTGTTCCCCAAATACAATGTTCAAAAAAACAATAATATTAGAATTTTTGCGACATTATAAATATATTTTCTGTCACTTTTGATCGATTTAAAGCATTCTTGCTAAATAAAAGTATTATTTCTTCTTTCTTCTTCTGTATACTCTATAGCAAGATTAGTACGGCCTTGAGTGATTGTAAACGTAGCTCTTGTTGCATAAGCAAACTCGAGGTTTAGTGGTCTCGTGTGTCACATGACCTGTTGTCCAGACATTATAAAACGCTTAATGTGAAAAACGCTTGATGTGGCTTAATGTACTAAGACAGTGTTATTAAAAGACTTCATACTAATAAAGTATACCAAAATCAAAGAGCAGAGAATATGAACAATGTATTTAATTACACTTTAAGCGCTTTCCTCCTATAGAAAACTATTATACAACATTTAACGTGTAATTAAATGTGGTGTTCATATTCTGTGCTCTGTACATTGATATACTTTATTAGTATGAAGTCTTTTAATAACACTGTAAGCCACGTTAACGTTTTTCACGTTACGCGTTGTGGATTGTCCCAAGTTGTGTGTGTTTTCCCCGTGGCTCTGTCCTCGCTGACACACACTCAGGTTCACAGTGTGGTCTGGTATGAAGCTGAACCCTCTTCCTCGCTGCTGTTCAGGAGCGGCTGTCTCTCCCCGTATCCCGACGCCTTTCGCCTCTTTGTCCTCCTGCGACACGACACGCTGATGACCGTAGCGATGATTCCCGCCACGACGGCCCCCAGGATCCCTGACGCCAGGAGCCAGCCCCAGATCTGCTGCGCTTGCTGAAGATACGGCGTCACGAACTCCTGCATGAACCGCTGACCTGCCACAGAATGAAGCCGATGAAGACAAGGCTAACGGAAGTACCTGGGTTTATGCTAATGCTAATTAATGCTGGGAATAATAACAATACAGTAATACAAGAAAATATTTCTTTATCAACTGATATCGACTCTAAAATCCCAAGAATCGATCTTTCAGTTGATGTGTGAACGAAACATCACTAAACGTTATTTTGTAGGCTAGCAAATTCTGTCAATTTTATAACAAAATACAAACAATAAATATCGCTGCCTTTGACGCTCTTTAATGTGTCGTGACCGATCGCTGTAGCCGCTGCTTCATCTCTTACTCTTTACTAGTTATAGCATCTAATAAACATGAATGAACATCGGAAGGTATGTTGAGAGACACCGCACAACTTACTAAAATGTCCCATGTAATCGCTTAATCGGCATTTCAACTGCGAAAAGACTCAGAGTACGTGTACACGACAACGATAACCTTACAATGGAGAAGTTTTCCACGTACAGATGACACCGTTTTCAAAACGATCCCAAATCACACGGATCCGTGAAAAAACAAACAAAAAAAAAAAACGCTGTATTGCTCTGCCAGGCCATTAGATGGCGATGAAACACTATAGACTGAACATGTAATACGCATGTGCATGACATCATCTTCAGAGATTCGCGTTTTTGTTGTTTACACGGAGACAATTGCACTTTGAAACCAGTTTAAAAGTTTAAGTTTAACCAGTTTAAAACCAGTTAGAAAGACGTTGTTGCGTAAACAAACGGCTAAAACCTATACTTTTTTTTCATAAGTTAACGATGCACGTTTTCATATTGAACCGTTTGGTACGAGGCTTTCGGTTCGAGGACGGATTTCAAACCGAACGAGTCATTGGACCATTTTTCCTGCCCGACCAATATTTTGTTAGCATTCGCGCTGGCGCAACCACCACAACGTTGCCCAACATCAAATGGCGTGATGAATGCGGAACTAACTGCAGCGCATTTGTGTTTAAAGGAGTGTTGAGCCTAGTTCACACTACATGATTTTTAGCCAGATTTGCAAATCGTTGAGTTCGCCGACAGGTCAGGGTGTTATCGTGGGGGATTAGCGGGCAATGAACGCTTGCCAGTGTGTTAGTATGAAAGGGCCAACAACGCATTTAAAGACGCTCGCAGATGCGTCGCCGAGCCCTGAAAAATATCTAACATGCTAGATATCCAAAGCTGTCTCACAACTCAACCTCAGTGATGTCATGAGCTACAGCCAATCAGAGCAAGGCATGGGTTGAGGTCAGTATTCTTTACTTGGTATTACCGTGCGTGCTGTTTTGCGTAATTTCCGGTTCGTTTTATCGCGTGATTTTTCGTGGTTTGTTTGTAGACAAGATAGAATCGTTGTTGTCAACTCATGTAGTGCAAAAGTTATTATATCTATAATTATAAAAACCGTCTTGTGAGCAATTTAAATGTTTGTATACAAATCAGTTGCATAAATAAAGTAGTCTCAATTAGTTTACAATTCAGATTCAATTCAGAACAATCTAGCTTTTTATGCAACTGACTTATTTATAAATATAATCTGATATGACTAACTTGTAAGACTAGTTTAAGCAGTTTATGCCATCACCACAGTTAACATGAACCTTAAATATATCCAAATGAACCGATATCAAATCTAACTGAACTGTAATTGAATCAAACTGCAAACTTGTGACTCGAATCGAATCGTGAAATGTGTGTTAATGCCCAGACTAATACTAATAACTCACCTGGGTCCAGTAAATATGCATATTCATATCCCAGGGCTTTAGTGGACAGGAAATAATCCCCGTTTCTGTAGAGAGGGATGAAGGGGACCATGAAGTATCCGTCGTTGTGTCCGATCGGGGCGTTGGCGGTCGGGTAGTGTGTGCGGGGGGGCTGGTGTCTCCTCAGCCACTGCTCAAAGATGCTGAAACACAACGAATCCCTGAATTAATATATATAATATTTACAATTTCGATGATCTGAGGTATCATCATTCAGAACTATTGCACAGTTTTATGGGTGAGTGAGTGAGTCTATGTGTGTGTATGCAAGTTTGTGAGTTTATGTGTGTGTGTGTGTGTGTGTGTGTGTGTGTATGCAAGTGTGTGAGTGTACATGTTGGTGTGTGTGTGTGTATGTATGTGTACATGTGAGTGCATTTATGTGTGAGTGTGTATCCTAGTGTTTATTTGTTTGTGTGAGTGTGTGTATGCGTGTGAGTGTGCGTTTGTGTGTGTATGCGAGTGTACTTGTTTGTGTGAGTGTACATGTGTGTATCTGAGTGTTTGTTTGTGTGAGTGTGTGTATGCGTGTGAGTATGCGTTTGTGTGTGTATGCGATTGTACTTGTTTGTGTGAGTGTACATATTTGTGAGTGTATGTGTGTGTGTATGCGTGTGAGTGTGCGTTTGTGTGTATGCGAGTGTACTTGTTTGTGTGAGTGTACATATTTGTGAGTGTGTGTGTATGCGTGTGAGTGTGCGTTTGTGTGTATGCGAGTGTACTTGTTTGTGTGAGTGTACGTGTGTGTGTTTGTGTGTGCAGATGCATTTTACCTATCAATAAAGGCATGATGTAAAATAAAAATGGGGTCGTTGGCGGAGCCCTGCACTGAAGACATGGACCCGTTCATGAAGACGTGTAAAGAGTTGTGCATCAAACTTCGACCTGTGACCGCCAACCCCGTCTCAGGACTCGCGAAACCTGCACAGGAGAGACGCGTTCAGCGCTTACAGCCTGGTGAGTTCATCTCGTCACACACTCCAAACACACTCTCACCCTCCAGTGTGTTCCTGAAGCTCATGTTGGCCCGTCGGTCCATCTGTCCCGTCTCGTACTGCGTCAGGCTCAGGACCGCCTCCACGTCAGCAGAGCTGGGCAGCCGCGGGACACGCGTCCGGTCGTGGTTGCCAGGGTTACGGAGCAGCGGTCCCTCGGGCGACCCGTCACACAAGACCTCTCGAAGGTTGTAGTCGTCGGGTTGAGAACAGATCACCTGCACAGGTACAGTGGACACTTATTAAACACCCGTACACATAAACTACAGGTGAAAGTCGAAAATTAGAATATGGTGCAAAAGTTCATTTATTTCAGTAATTCGACTTAAAAGGTGAAACTAATATATTATATAGACTCATTACATGCAAATTAAGATTCCAAGCCTTCATTTGTTATAATTTTGATGATTATGCCTACAGCTTATGAAAACCATGAAAATATTCTAATTTTGAATTTGGGGTTTTCATAAGCTGTAATCCACAATCAGGAAAATTCTAACAAATAAAGGCTTGAAATATCTCATTTTGCATATAATGAGTTTATATAATATATTAGTTTCACCTTTTTAGTTGAATTACTGAAATATTGTAATTTTTCGCGTTTCACCTGTAAGGGCTCAATGTGTGAATCTCATGAAACCTGGCATGAACATAATGGATATTTTACACGAAAAATAAAGAAATAATAGTTTTATCCAGCAAGGATGCATTAAATTGATCAGAAGTGACAGTAAAGTTGTTTATAATGTTACAAAATATTGTATTTCAAATCAATTGTATTCATCAAAGAATCATTTTTAAAAAAAATCATGATTTCCACTGAAATACGAAGCAGCAACATTGATAATAATCAGAAATGTTTCTCGAGCATCAAATCATCATATTAGAGTGATTTCTGAAGGATCATGTGACACTGAAGACTGGAGAAACATGATCACAGAAATAAATTACACTTTACAATATATTCATACTATACACAACTATTTTAAATTGTAATAATTTTTCACTGTTTTTACTGTATTTGTGATAAATGCAGCCTTGATAAAACAATAAATATAATGAAAACATTATTGAGTAAATAAAAAAAGTAATGAAAAAAACCCTATTTTTAAGACTAGTAAAGTTTCACGGTGACGTTATTTTAATGATAAGATCAATTTCATTTTTGTCATAATTACAATAATGTAAATCAAACCAGTGGCTATTTTACTCTAAACACTCGGAGTTGTGAATGTGTTTTCCGGAAGTTCACGAGGGAACCCTGTGAATCTCGATGACTAATACGGCCTGTGTCTCGTATGTTAATCGGATGCTGTTTCAGAGGCGTACGCTCACAGATGAAGATGACCAGGATTTTTACTCTCTCTGAAGAAAATATGAGTGTTTTCAAATCATTGGCATGATATTAGTAGATTACGGGTGGTTGCCAGGATCCACTAAAAGCCTGACAGAAGCCTTTAAGGCTCTATAGAGACGCTTTGGCTCTTGTGAGCAGGTCAGTAGTGAGGTTAATGGATGTTTTTGGGGCCAGACACACTCGTGACCCGCTACTTCACCATCAGGCAGGCGTCACACACTCACACCTTTATAACGCATGCGAGACATCACACCCGCTCTAGATGGGTTCATTAAACCAAAGCCCAGTCACATGACTGAACTACACACGGATACAGCGTCACAGCGTCACACTCTTCATGTGTCTTGTTCCTATAGACCTGAACATGTGGAGATATATAAGATACATAAGAGATAAATAAGATATATTTTAAAACCCTTTATTGAATATATTTAATGTATTTATATATATATATATATATATATATGTGTGTGTGTGTGTATATATTTTTATTCTATATAAATATATGTATATGTTTTATGTTTATTATGCTAAATTCCTTATAAACTGACAAAAGTGTTGCAATTTGCAAACGTACTCCAATAATCATTTACATTTTTTTAGTTGAAAAGAGATTTATTTTTAGTTGAGATGTATCTATTTATTTTTTATTTTAATTGTTTTTTATTTCAATTAATCAGCATGTCACAATTTGAATGGAATTCTGCAGCTTTTTTCCTGAAGTGATCCATCGTACACAAGTACATATCTATAAAACTAAACAAAGAACTTACTCATAAAAATCATAATTTCATCAAACTTACTCAATCAAATCAAAAAATCAAACTTACTCAATCAAAATCATAATTTTTATTTGATTAATTTGTTTATAAAGAAGGACATTTCTAAACTGTATATGGGTAATTAAGAATTTATGTCAAAATATCTTGAAACCTAAATCTATTTCAGATTTATTGCAATTTTAATTTTAATTTCAATCATTTTTCAAAATTAATCATTTATTTGTATCATCATTTTTGTTAAATACTCATTTTTTCTTTACTTGGTTTAAATGTTTCGCTGTTCACTTCACGCTTCACAATCCTAAAAAGTGACATAAATATATTTAAAATAATATTACAGACTATTATCTTCCCTCAGTTACATAATTCTCCCTTGTCTGAATGTAATACTTTCCTAATACATTCACTCATTTGTCCAAGAGCTACTATAAAAACATAATGATATTGAGATTTTAGGTTAGTTTTGTGTGTCAGCAAGAGAAAACAAGCATTCATGAAATTGTGTTTTAACCAAATTTGACAAGAACAAACATTACTAGAGGGATAAAAGACTAAACATACTGTATTCATGAGTAAGAATGTGAAGCGAATAGATGATGAGTGATTTACAACAGAATGATTTTTAAAACAGAATTGAATCAATCAAAACCTTACTAATGTAATGCCAAAACAATCTCTGTTTATCACCGTAAATCTGCCTTGAAACAATCTATATTGTTAAAAGCGCTATATAAATGAAGGCGACTTGCAACGATTAATCGCGATTAATCGCATCCAAAATGAAAGTTTGTGTTTACATAAAATATGTGTCCTAAAAAAAATCCTAAAAATATACATGCATGCATGTGTGCATACAAAATAATTACGCACACACACACACATTAACACAAACTTGTATTTTAGATGCGATTAATCGCGATTAATTGACTTGACTTTACCTTCCAGGAGGAGAACACCGAGGACGGGCTGATCAGGTTCGGGTTGAGAGGACTGCGCGCCCCCATCAGCTCGTCCACACACACCTGACAGTCCTGCGCGTCACGCCAGTCCCAGTACGGGATGGTGAAGTTAAAGTCCCCGGTCAGCTTGCGGATCTCGTGCTCCCAGAACAGCAGGAAGACCCGGTGCCAGGGCAGGAACGCGGCAGATTCGTGCGCAAAGTCAATATCGGCCCACACGTTCCCGGGACCCCCGAGCAGCGCGTCACGGGACACGTAATAATGCATCCACACGAACAAATCGTACACGCTGATGTTCCCAAACATGGGGGTCGAGCCGTTGTTCATCTGCGCGTACGTGCCCGTCGCGATCACATAATCAGGGCTGACGGTGTTCTTCGCCAGATTCAGGTACGAGATGAACCTCTGCCTTTCCGTCACGGACAACTGGAAGACGTTCCTGCGGATGGACTCCCGTCGTTCCGCGCAATTCCCACCGAAGAAGCCGAACTTGCACTCGCCGCAGTCGATGCCCATGTAGTTGCCGGCGCACCGGCAGGTTTGGTTGTAGAAGACCAGAGGCCAGCGTTCACGGTCGTCCACGTCCGAATGAGGGTACTGAGGCCCGTTGGGGAGGTCGGACACGGTGACGTCCTGGCAGAAGCCTCGACCCGAAAGGGATCCGCACACCGAACCATCGCCCGGCCAAACTGGACAGCAACGCTTGCTCAGCAGGACGTCCCGTGAAGTGCAAGCCCGAGGAAACTGCTGGAGAGACTGACTGAAGAACTGAAGGAAGAAGAACACAAGCAGAGAGGAGGACATGGTGAGCTTCATAAAGAGAGTGGGACACATTAGACACGGAGATCTTCCTCCAGCTCTCTTTCTCTTTACACACTCCCTCTTTCACACACACACACACACACACACTTACAACCCCCGGATCACATGCTTGGGATAAAACCGATGACCCCCGCTCGCGTTTAGTCTCGGGATTGAGGAATGCTTGTGCTCGAGTCGAGCGTGAGATCATTTCATGAAAGATCTTCCATTTTAATTTGATTACCAGATGAAATGAGCAAAGTCAACATGGTTAATGAGGTTTTGCCTTTGTGTTTACGCCAACAACCTGTCGGTGTGTAATTGAGTCGGAAATCACCGCTTACGCTCGTTTTATGCGTTATAACCATCACATGTTAGCGAGTTTAAATACGGATTTGACTTTGCTTATATAATTAAATGGGTTGGTGATGGCGCAGTGGATAAGGCACATGCCTTTGGTGTGAGAGACACAGGTTTGAATCCACTGTGAGACACCAATGTGTCCCTGAGCAAGACACTTAACCCCTAGTTGCTCCAGAGGTGTGTGACCTCTGACATATATAGTCGCTTTGGATAAAAGCGTCAGCTAAATGAATAAATGTAAATGTAAATAATTGTCATAAACTACAATTCAAACGTTTGGAGTCAAAAATACTGTAAAAACAGTGAAATATAATTACTGTTTAAAATAACGGTTTTCTTTGTGAATATATGTTTAATGTAATTTATTCCTGTGATCAAAGCAAATCATTACTTCAGTCTTCAGCGTCACATGATCCTTCAGAAATCACTCTAATATGATGATTTGATGCTTGAGAAACAGTTATGATTATTATCAATGTCGACAATAGTTGTGATGATCATATTTTTGTGGAAAACGTGATGCTTTGTTTTTCAGGATTGATGCATGGAAAGTTCAAACGAACAGCATTTATTTGAAAATGAAATTATAAATGTCTTTTTTTTATTAGCTTCATATTGGGTCTGACCGAGAGTAACAATTACATTTAATATAGTGTAAGTAATATAGATACTATGGCTGTCAAACGATTAATCGCGATTAATCGCATCCAAAATAAAAGTTTGTGTTTACATAATATATGTGGGTGCACTGTGTATAATTATTATATATATATATATATATATATATATATATACACACACACACATGCATGTATATTTAAGAAAAAATATTATTTATATATAAAATATTTATATTTATATATAATATAAATTATATATAACTCTATACACAGTGTATACATTAAAATATTTCTTAAATATATACAAGGATGTGTGTGTATTTATATATATATATATATATATATAAAATAATTATACACAGTGTATACATTAAAATATTTCTTAAATATATACAAGCATGTGTGTATGTTTATATAAAATAATTATACACAGTGCACCCACATATATTACTGTATGCAAACACAAACTTTTATTTTGGATGCGATTAATCACAATTAATCATTTGACAGCCCTAATAAATACATATATACTTGTGATGTAACATTAATTCAGATTATGAAAATAAAAAGACAAACATAATTATATGCACACATACACACACGCACAAAAATAAACAAATAAAATAGGAATTAAAATGTCATGTTTTGTAATAAAATAATTAATTAATTATTTTCGAAAAAGGAGGTTAAAACAAATTACCACAAATTATGTAGTTATTGTCTCCTTAAAGTATTCAATTATAAATTATAAATTATACTTTTGATTAATTTAATCCATCCTTGCTTAGTCTTACTGAGGCCCAACTTTTTATTTAATTTTTTATTTATTATTACTTTTTATTTACTGTTTATTGGTTGCAAGATTAATTTATCCCCATTTTGTTTTATTCATATTTGCTCATGACCACATCCATATTTAGTTCTTTATGCAAAAGCACATTTATGTAATGGTAATTCAGTGGTATGGAATGATTACAATATTAATGTAGCATGCTCTTTGTTTGTTGGTTTGACTTTTTTTTTTATTTTAATCAGCTTACAAATTTGAATTCAATTAAATTTCACATTGTGCTTCTGAAAAAAACATATTGTTCCCAAGCAGTTTTCCAGAAGAAAACCCCTCTTTCAGTTGTTTGTATAAATGTGTATAAGGACACCGTGCACATGTCCAAAATCTGCCATCTTGCTGTTATTATACACACAAGTACTTTTGAAGCCCTTTTTGTTTTCTCTTCCCTCTGTTATGTTTTCAGGCTTATATGTGTGTCATATGTTTTATCATGTGCCGTTCGGGGAAGCTGCACATATAGTGCTCTTAGCTTTCTCAAATCATAAGCCCGTCACATGTTGGCGTATTGGGCACGAGGTCCAGATAATCCAGCGCAAAAAGAGGAATGAGCGTCACAGGATTACTGCAGCCTCGGGCTCTCTCTCTCTCTACAGTCTGGCTTCATCACACACAATCATTTGGTTTGTGCATTTCATCCATAATGCAAAGAGTGGCCCGTTAAAGTGTTTAGCCACTTAAAAATGTCTGAATGTATTTGTATGTGATAAGAAGTTATCCAGACTGGCTTTCATTTTATAAAAAGCTTTTCAAGGCAAATATAATAGGATTGTTAAATTTAACAAAACATTGTATTTAGACACTGGTTGTGAAATTAAATTGAGAAGTTAATTCTGATATTTTGTCTTAAATCCATGGATATTTAAGTGTAAACACTTTTTTAAAGCCACTTTAATAGGCCCATTCACACCGATGCTGATAACGATATAGACTTGGTTCCCAAAATCGTCCTCAATATAAAAGAATAGCAGAGTTCACATCGCAGCTATAAACGATATAGCACAAAATATTTAGATATGCAGGAAATCACAATGGAAGATGATTTCGATACATCTAAATATGTTTAAATCTTCACAGTGAAAGGTAAAACTTCAGAAATCTCCGTGTAAACAATTAATGACATACACAAGAGATCACTTCCGGCGCATGCGCAGACCGAAGCGCCCGTGCCCTCAGATCACTTGGACGTGGCTGTGGTTACAGGAGGTAAAAACGATAGAAATACTGTTCATTTTCTCACACAAACCACTCGTTTCGTGTCTTAGGCCATGTCCACACTAATACGTTTTCGTTTGAAAACGTATATTTTTCTCTCCGTTTTGGCCTTCCGTCCACACTGTTTTCCTCGTTTGGAAAACGCTCTCCAAAGTGGATAAATTTGAAAACGCCGTTTTCGCGTTGTAGTGTGGACAGTGAAACCGGAGGTATTTCAAAACGATGACGTAAGTTTAGTCATGTGATCCATGTAGTACCAATAGATATTCATGTTTATCGGTATTGTGCCTGTTATGTGTTATTCATTTTTACACTGTTGCTAAAATATGTCACTTTCTATGTTACTTAATTTGTGCTATTCTTCATAGCACAGTACTGCAAATATGACAGATAATGTACGTACATTTGCAGTCCCGCTGCAAAACAGACTGAATGCGACCTGGACGCATCAGTGATGGTGAGATATTTTGCTAAATAAAATTATCCTGTTATTGTGCGATAACGTTATTATTTATTTTCTCATCGGTGTCATCTCAGTGAGCTTTTGTGAAGTTTCACGCATGCGCAGTAAAGTGAATTTAGAAGTTTCTCATCCACACTGAAACGTCGGAAAATGCCTGAAAACGCTAGTGTGGACGAAGAGCGTTTTTAAACGAAAACCCCGTTTTCGAATGTAGTCGGATTAATGTGGACGTAGCCTAACACCGTGTCCTAACTACACGCGACGCGACGCCGCGACACGCGATAAAAGGTATCTTTTCCATGTTAATCAGAGTTTTTGTCCTAACCAGACGCGACGGCGACACGCGAAGTTTCTAATTTAGAAACGGTTCCTATTTCTGCGACGTCGCGGCTGACAGAATGAAGAAATTACACTGGTTATGAGTACACATCATTTATTTTTAGTTAAAAATAGGTCACTGTGCCACAAGCGATAACGGATAATTTACCTCAGATTTTGAAAGCATGTAATATCGTTCAAAATGAATTCAAACATACTGTACTTCATAACTAAATTAGTCAATGAGTATATTTTGTTAATGTTTTGATTTTTAATAATGTTATTTCTTGATTTGATTATGTCCTTACCCATATTCAATGCGAGTGCGGGCCAACAGTGCGCTTTCACAGAGAGACTCTGCTCAAACCATAGGCTCACACGCTGTTCTGAATGTTCGGCATCTCACAGTCGCGTCGCGTCTCGTGTGGACAGACACACTTGCTGTCGCTGGAATTTTATCGCGTCGCGTGTAGTTAGGACACGGTGTTAGGCCATCAATGTGTATTTACATTTACGAGTCATTAAATCATGTTTAATTTGGACTTCTCTGTGCATGCTTTTTTAGGAGGACCCCATAGACTTCCATTATATGACTGACAGACAAGAACAATATCAAAATTGGAAATACTGCGGAAACAAAGACACCTACACCTTGGATGCCCTTGAGGTAAGCTAAAAAACACCAAAAATTAATTTCAAAGTGTACTATCCCTTTAATGACCGAATTTTCTTTTTTTGGGGTGAACTATCCCTTTAAAGAGCTTGAGCATTTAAAGCGTCAGACAAAGAAACTACATTATGCTTGAATTAAACAGAACAATATTGTCCGCCGGTGTGACGCTAATATAGTTAGTTGAAATTTAGACTTTATGGATGTTATTTCTCCTGCATCATTTAGCCTATATTCACACAATCTCATTTCAGATTCAAAGAAGGTCGTTTTTATGGAAAGTTTTGGAGCTTCTTATACATCCAGATTTATATTTGACTGCCTACTAGTTTAAATATAACATCATTATTGGCCCGCCGTCTGACTGAAATACTTCACAAGCGTTGCGTTTGACTTTAATGCCACAAGTGGTCAACAGAGGGCAGTGTGTGTTGAACTTTAGCCAGTCACTGGATTAAACTCAAGAGACTCACTGAATGAGGCTTTCTCTCCAGTAATTCCTCTCCTCTGTTCTTCTGTAGGCTCGTATCTTCGAGACGGGACACTTCAGAGCTCATACTGCCACTCCTGTCTGATTCACCTCGCCTAT